GCAAAGTACTCTTGGAACTGAACCCGAGCTCTGCCAAGACAACCTCCCCTCCTGCCGGCCTCTACGGGGGCCCCAGTCTCCTCCCCGGGAGACAAGAGCCACAGCAGCCGCCCCATAGCTTTCTTCACAGCAGCGCCATGGTAGTCTCACCCTGGCTCAGGACCTGCTTACTGCCTTTCTCATCAGTCTTAAAATAAGTGCTTAGGGGCCTGGGATTTAGCTCAGTGGTTCCGCCGCCTGCCTCAAAAGCACAAGGACCAGAGTTCAATCCCTGGTACCAAAGAAACCTGAAAAGTGCTTGGTGAACTGAGGGTGGGAGCAGGGCACTGTATTTTTTAATTTTTCTCAATATTTCCAGTAACTATGTTTTTGTTGCTGTTGCTTTGTTTTTGTGGGCTTGTTTTGTTTTGCAGGACTGGGGATTGAGCCCAGGGAGCTCTGAGCTACATCTTCAGCCCGTTTTATTTTTCATTTTGTGACGCAGTCATGCTAAGTTGCCTTGCACTTGTAATCCTCCTGCCTCAGTCTTCCCACCAGTTGGGATTATAGGTCTGCACTCTTCATCTGGTTTACAAGTGCTTTTTCATTTAAAAGAAAAGCTGGTCAAACCTTCTGGAGTAGCTGGGGATGGGGGCACGGCTCCTACCCTGCTGCCCGCGCTGGCTTCCTTCCTGGTACCCAGACCAATTTCAGTTCTGCATTTAGAGACAGCAGACTGTGCCGTCATTAAAATCACCCTCTGGGAAATAGGCCAGTCCAGCTCCCTGGCCTTGCTGCCCTGTGTGCCTCCTCTGAGGGTGTCAGCGAGGCAGCCCAGCACTGTCCAGAGATGCAGCATCCCTTGGGGTGCAGTGCCCGACCTCCAGCAGTCTGGACACCAGCCGGCCTTGTTTTTAAGACCCCGGAGCCCTTCTCTCTTCCTGAACTTCCGGGGCTGTGGCTCGCCCTCTCCCTGGCTTTACACCTCTCCCCGCACTGAAGCTCCTGGGGGAAGCAGGCTCAGAAACTAACCGAGGCAGAAAGAGCTGTTGATGCCTAACTGGGCTCTGGGGGGCACTGTCTGCAGGGCCCTTGTAGAAATGATCTTCCTGAAAGCCACGCAATTTTCCATAGCCGGGAGATTTTAATGGGAGGCAGGAGAAGAGACAGGGGTTTTGTTTGACAGTCAGAACTAGCTCCTCCGTCCTTTTCTTCTGCGTGACTTTTGCTTCTGAACGGAACTTCATGTCCATTCTATTGATCCAGGAAACCCCAGAGGGTGTCTGCTCTGCCCAGGGCTGTCCCAAGTTAACAAGCTTGCTGTTGGAAATGCTGCTGTTTGTTTCTTCAATATGGAGCTGCTGTTATATGCTCCAGTCACCTGCAGAAAGAGAGAAGGAGCGGTGTGGTGACACATGCCTAAAATCCCTCTGCTCTGGAGGCTGAGACAAGAGGAGAGTTGAAAGTTCAAAGCCAGCCTGTGCGTACTGGCTACATAGTAAGCTCAAGGCCAGCCTGAATTACCCGGTGAGAATAGACAAAGAGGGAAGGAATTCACCACTGGCAAGTGGGACAGTCACCTCAGGGCAGAAATCCCCCCCCCTCCCCGCCCCGTCCATGGGCTCACCCTGGGGAGCGTCAGTGACATTGTGGGAATCACATTAGCTGCACACAGCTAACACGGGCCCTCTGAGGCTCCTTCTCTATTTCAAGATGACTTGATAAATATTTTCAGGAAGGTCGTCACTGCAGAATGAGGAACCAAGTCTGGTGGCCTAGAGAGCTAGGAGTTCGGGCTGCCTCCACTCTGGAGGGAAGGGGTCTCCTGAACCCAGTGCAATGTTCCCCGAAGACACCCACTGCCCCCTGACCTTGATGTGGGAGGATCTTCTATTTGCCGCCCCCCACCCCAGCCCGGGATAGGCAGACACATAAACCTCGGTTCTTTCTAAGTCACCTGGCCTGTGGCGTTCAGTTACAGCAACAGCCAGACGCACCAGAAAAGGACCTGTGGCCCTCCTGCAGGGAGCCTTGCCCTGGAGCTGACTGGCAGGAAGCAGCTGTCCCCACGGGCAGAAGAAATGGGGCACTGACAATTTTCTTCTATTTGGGGGCTGGGGTTCAGGGCACAGTCTTACCACAGCTCAGGCTGATCCCAAACTCATCCCCAGCCTCCCGAGTGCTGGGGAGCCCAAGGGTACAGTGCTGGCACCTGCCGAGGGCCCTCTTGCCATGCCCTAATATGGTGCAGGGTGACGGGTGGCAGACAGAGCAAGGGGGCCCAGATCAGGTCTCACTTCCTCTTCTCAGGACCTCATTGAACCCTAATCATATCTCCAAATCCCGCTGATACAGCAATGTGGGGATTAAGTGTTCAATGCATGGAAGGGGGAGGAGACACAATGAACCCACAGCACCCACAAGACTGGAGGCTGGGGTGACAGTTTCCTCCCAGCAGTGGCCATTATTAGCTGACCTCCCAGCCCACCCAGACAGGCCACTCCTCCATCCTTTTTGTTTGTTTGAGACAGAGTCTCACTATGCAGTTCAGACTGGCCTTGAACTTACTAGCTAGTCAAGGCTGAGCTTGAACTCAGAGCAATCCTCCTGCCTCAGCCTCCTGGGTACTCGAATTACAGGTATGCACTACCACACCGGGCTACTCTTTTATCCTTGAGGCTAAAACTTTTCTTCATTCTTTCTTCCTGGGAACCCGGACCCCCTACCAGGGCTCCCCAATCCCTGGCTCCTTGACCTCTTTGATCAGCCAGAACAAGCACTCTGCACCCTCCCCGCTCCACAGGGATTCCTGTTAGATTGTCTCGCCTCTGCTTGCTTAATACTCAGCGTAGTCATCAGTGGCCAGTTATTTCTTCTTTCACATTTCATGTCTCTGATACCAAACATATCTAAGATCAATAGTGCAGCACAGTTTAGGTTTGGCTTTTTAATGCCGCATACACATATGTATCTTAGCATCTGTGACCCTTAAATCCCCAAATCTCATGTGATCCTCCGACATCCTCTGGCTGAGAATCCCTTCCCGGTCTCCCACTTTTACTTTCTTTGTGTTTTCGTATCCCTTTTCCACGAGGCTAACGGCGTGTCACCATTAGCTGCAGTTCTTTGACAGGGCGATGTTTACCCATGACTGCTCTGACTCACTCAGTCAGGGTCATAGATGCTGCATCTTCTTGTCAAATTGTCTTTGTTATTCTGCTCTGGTTTGGTTTTGAACCTACCGAGGAGACTTCTTAGAAGGCTTCCGCTGTTTGTTGCTGTTGCTGATGCTCAGGTATTTCTAGTTTAACAGAGCTTGAAAGAAATTGTTTGGTGTGGGGCTTTATGAAAGCAAGGGAATTTATTGAAAAGTAAATAAACAAACCCTTTTGTTAAATGCTGCATGGATTCACTAAACAGCTTAAGCCACACGATGCACTACCACCCCCACACACACACCCACATTCCCTTGCAGAGAGATTTCATGTGTGCATATGGGAACACAGCTACACCTGGACAGACAGAAAGACAGACAGAGCAACAAAAAAAATGAGACAAGGGGAGAGAGAGGGGCTGAGAGAGCCAGGCAGACAGCATGAAGCCTCAGTGCATGACAGAGGCACTGGTGTCCTCACTACAGTCTTGGATTTCACCACCCAGGAGCAAGGGCGAGGGGCAGACCTGAGTCCTCACCCTGGATGTGCATCTACCCCTCCCACCTGCAGCCCTGAGACCTTCAGGCCAGGGCACGACCCTCCCCCCAGGTCCCTGCCCCAAGCTGGCAACAACAGGGCCTTGATTTGGAGGCCAGTGGGGCAAGACCTGGCCTGCACATCCACCTGGGTGGACTTTCCAGCCCTAACCTGTGTGCTCACTGGCCATGTTTCCCTCAGGCTGTGGGTCTCATTGCCTTCAGCAGGAAAGCAGCTGGTGGCATCTCAGGAAACAGTGGAATCCTGATCCCCAAATCTAAAGTTGGATGTGAAAGTCTCAGGCACTTGGTGGCTGGGTACCTGGCAGGCCAGGGAAGCCCTGCCTGGAGAGGGAGCACTTGGAGTGCCCATTGGCTCACCTAGGGGCAGCTGTAGGTCGCTGTGGTCCAGCGGCTGGCCGGGGCGGGGCCTCTGAGAGGGCGGTACCTTGCTGGGGCGGGCATCTGTGGGGGCGTGGTCTCGTGGGCGGGGCTGGCTGCTCTGGGAAGATCTTCAGAGCTGGGGGATGGCCCCAAAGCCTTAGAAACAGCTGAGCAGAATGACTTCCGGCACCAACAGCAGAGACACAAGCCAGGAAAGATCGCTGTGCTGCCTTCCCCATTCTCTGAGATTTTAGAAAAACTGAATTACAATGTATTTTTTTTTTAAGTTGCCAGAATACATTGTTCCTGAGCTTAAAATCAACGATCTGGGCCCTAAGGTGTAGCTCGGTGGTAGAGCGCCTGCCTAGCATGTGCAGGGCCCTGGGCTCCATCCCCAGCACTGAAAGATAAACAAATAATAAATAAATGATCTTGGGGGTTGGGCATAGCTCCACGGTAAACCGTGTGCTTTGCCTGCACAAGGCTCTGGGCTCAATCCCCAATACCACAAAAATAAACACGAAGTGATTTTTTAAAATGATCTTTGTGGAGAAGAACACAAAAATAACTCTCCCCATCAAACACATACCACAGAGTCTAGAAAAATATTCGAAACCACTGAAAATGGGCTTCTCAGAGTTGTGGAAGTACAGGTGATTTCTTTTTTAAAAAATCTTTATTTTCTAATTTTACCATAAGGAAAAATGCACTATTTTGTATAGTGAAGGCTGAAAGAATAAACACTATCTTTGAAACCATCCTGCCGACTTATCTTGCAGAAGGCCCCTTGGGAGCTGCTGGCCACAGGGGTGTGGGCATGGAGCCCGAGGCTTTTTCTGGATCGCGGTCGGTCCTCGGCCTGGCTGGTCACACTGCAGGTGGCCCTCGTGGGCGGGTGACATTCTGGTCAGTTGACACGTGCTTTTGCTTGGGGCTCTGTCTGCAGGCCTCGGAAGGCGTCCCCGTCAGGTACTTCACTAAACTGGACCAGCTCATAGAATTCTACAAGAAGGAGAACATGGGGCTGGTGACCCACCTGCAGTACCCTGTGCCACTGGAGGAGGAGGACGCTGGCGACGACCCCGAGGAGGACACGGGTAGGAAGGGAATGGGGGTGGCAGGGGTCACCGGTGCCTTAGGGGTCCTCCATGCCCCAGTGCTTGCAGATTAGAGGGTTCTGGTATTAGAGGGAGTCCACATGGCCGGGTGGTGAAGGACAGGTTAGGAACATGGGCTCTGACAGGATGCAGACAGACGTGGGCTGGAATTCTTGCTCTCTTGCTAGTTAGCTGTGTTATCTTGGGTAAGTGACTTACCCTCTTTGAACTACAAGCTTCTCTTTAGAAACAGTAGAGTCGGCACCATATCTGCCTCTCAGGATGTCACAGGGATCCAGTGAGCCGATGAATGCAGTGCCCAGAGCCTCATACATAGTAGACAATAAGTGCAGTGCCCACCCTCGTCACCATTATAGTTTCACCATGGGGACAATGGAGGAATAGAGCCTTGCACTTGGAGGGAAGGCCGAGAAAGGTGTTTCTTTGTCATCATTAAAAGGGAGGGACATAGATACAACTCCTAAAAATGTGTTGAAAAGAAAGCCCAGCATGGCGATACACACCTGTAACCCCAGCCCTCTGGGAAGCTAAGGCAGAAGGATTGCAAGTTCAAGCCCAGCATGGGCAACTTAGCAGGACCCTATACCAAAATTTAAAAATGAGTAAATAAAAGGCTGGGGAGAAAGCTCACTGTGAAGGCCTTGGGTTTGATCTCCAGTACTAAAAAATAAGACCCTAAAGTGTGTGTGACTCAGGCCCGCCCTTTGCACAGCGTGGGGAGGTTGGGCATGGAAGTGCGTCCCAGAGAGAAAGTTGCAGAAAGAAAGCTCAACTGCAGGGGCGCCTTCCTCTCCTCTCAGAGGTTCAGCTCTTCCACTGGCTGGGGCTCTTCCAGCAGGCGGCCCAGGGGAGATGAGAGGGGAACGCTAAGCTCCCTGGCTGGTCTCCCACTCTGTTGGGCCCTGGTGGCCCGTCCCTGGTGACTGCTGCCAGTCCCCCGCAGGGCTCTCTTTATCCCCTCCAGTGGGCTGGCTTGTGGGTCACCAGACCCCTCCTCTACCCCTCCTGGACATCCCCTTTTCATGGCTTCATGACTCCTCAAGGAACGACTGACGGCTGCCTCCCCAATAACCAGGCCAAGCTCCAAGGGGCTAGAAGGGCACCCAGGCAGGGCACATCCTTCTGCCCTCTCTGGGCAGTGGAAGAGGAGCCCTCAGGGGCTGGGAAGGTCCAGCAGCGTAGGCAGAGCTGAGATGTTGGTGTGTGAATCCATAGTCACCTGTCAGGGTGGGGCCCTGCTGTGCAGCAGCCTTGGCCCAGACCTTGGCCTTGACCTTGAGGAGCTGTCCTGCAGCAGTGCCTTCCACACATCACCATCCTAGGTGCCTTGGGCCCCCGCCCCAGCTTGCTGTGCCGGTCTCGGGAGTTGACTGAGACAGATCCGACCCACACACTTCCCGTAACGGCTGGAGACAGAAAGAGCCCCAGTCCTGTGACCACCAGCTTCACTTCCTCAAAGAGGTCCAGGCAACCAGACACCGACTCAGGTCTTCTTGAGGGGCTACCCGGTCCCCAGGGCTTGAAACTCCCTTGTGTCTGTGTCCCTAAGCCAGAGCGGGAGAGGAAGTGAAATGTGTGTCCACTAAAAAGAGAAAGTCGCCAGGCGGTCCTCCGGCTGTGGGTTATGGTGGCCAGTAGGTGTGAGAAAGGCGTAGGCAGGGAGTGGCCTTTGCCTGTCTGTGGTACATGCAGGAAAGAAATTCCAATGGAGGTGGGCAAGGGTCCCATCTGTCAGGTCAGGTTCAGTTTGTTTAACATTTCTGTTGTCTGAATAAGCGAACTCCCCTTGCTTTTTTTTTTTTTTTTTTTTTAGTCAGGGTCTGGCTATGTATTCCAGGCTGGCACTGAACTTGCTGTGTAGCCCAGACTGACTCTGAATTTGTGGTGATTCTCCTGCCTCAGCCTCCTGGGTGCTGGGATTACAGGTGTCCCTACGCCTCCCACCTGCCCTCACTTTTAAATATTTGTCTCTGAGGCTCTGCAGGAAGAGAGGAGGGCAGAGGCTGGAGAGGTGCAGAGACGGATTGGGTGCTGAGGGTGATTGGCCAGGTCTTGGCCTCCCGCCCCAGCCTCCTTCTTGGGCTGTGGCCCCAGAAAGCCAGGCCAGGCTCAGTCTGCCCAAGGCCTGCCACCCTGCAGGCCACCCTGCCCTGTGCCCATCAGGGCCACCAGATCCCAGCAGAGCCCCACAGTGGCCCCAGGTGCAAGGATCCAGGTCTGTACCCAGGAGCTTCCTGCCAATCCGAGTCTGGGAGGAAGTGGGGCCCTGGGAAGGCACAGTGGGAGCAGCCAGGGACCTGTGGCAGACTGTGAGGGGGCGGGTGACGTCCAGAGCGCCTCGCCAATGGCTCCCTGTTGCTCTTCTGTTAGAAAGTGTCACATCTCCACCCGAGCTGCCACCCAGAAATATCCCTTTCTCTGCTGGGCCCTGTGAGACCAAGGAGCTTCCGGTGCCAGCCGAGAACCTCCGTGCCCCCGAGGCCAGCCGGCCCAGCCTCTCTGAGACACTCTTCCAGCGGCTGCAGACCATGGACACCAGCGGGTGAGTCCCCACCTGGCGGGCACCCTCCGAGGCCAGGCACACCTGGGCCCATGCTCCAGAAGCAGGTGGCCTTCAGCCCGAGGAATGGCGACTGTCCCTGCAAGCTACATCTGTGTTCATTTCCAAACATTTCATTAATTGTGTGGTTGAAAACCATCTTGTTTCTAACCTATATAATCTGGCCCTCAAGTTGTTTTTGTTCTTTGTCTATTTTCCTGTCAGTCTCAGTGGTTTTCTTATCAAGTTGTATGATTTTCTTATACATAGTGCAATTGAAAATATGGTGAATGTGTAGGGTTGCTTTTTAAAAAAATTACTACAGTATCTTTAAGGCAGAAAACTCCATGTACCCTATGGGAAAGTCTCTTTGGTTGGAAGAATGATAAAAACATTTTTTAAGAAAAAATTTTATGAAAAAATATAAATTTGTTATAGTGAAAGACACATTGCCATTAGTTCCCTTCAAAATACTCTCCCTCACTTCAAACAAACTTATCCCATTGTACTTGCTACTTTCTGGAGCAGCTCTGGAAGTCCTCTTTCATGAAGGTCTTTAGTTTTGTTGTCTTGGCTGCCTCGATGTCTTGAATTGATTCAATGTCTTGAATCGATTAAAAATGTTGACCTTTCATGGGCATTTTGACTTTGGGGAAGAGCCAGAAGTCATATGGTGCCCGATCCTGTGAATCAACTGATGAGGACACACTGTAATGTTTTTAGTTGACAGAAACTGCCATAAACATGTGGAATCAGTTCAGGACATGGAAGCAGTCACAAAAAGACACATTCAGAAATCACTTCAGAAAGTGGCAAGAATGATGGAATGAGTGTGTTTGAAGTGAGGGGAGGGGCTCGCTTTGGCAGCACATATACTGAAGTGAGGGGGAGGATTTTGAGGGAGATTTGTGGCAATGTGTCTTTTACTGTAATGCATTTTTTTTTGTTGTTTTTTTTTTTTTGGAACCAGGAATCAAACTCAGGACCTTACGCTTTTGAGGCAGGCAGAGGAATCACTGAGCTAAATCCCCAGCCCACTGTAATACTTTTTTTTTTTTTGGTACCTAGGATCAAACTCGGGTCCTTGTGCTTGCAAGGAGGCAGCGGAACCACTGAGCTAAATCCCTGGCCCATATGTAATACATTTTTAAATTTAAACTTTCACCATATATTTTGACCACACCTCGTATATTAACCCTTTGGCCATCTTCTTTATGGGGAAAAAATCTAGCTCCTAGCTCCTTGCTTACTTTTCACGTCTGAGAATGTTTTCATAAGATTTAAATGCTTCTAAAGTATAGCAGTTATTCCTTTTATGAACACAAAATCTCTTTTGTGCTTAGAAGGCCGCTGTCATTCACCTGGACACCTGCAGTCACCAGGTGCCAGTCACCCGAGTCCCCACACAGTCAGACACACAGGAACCCTGCCTCTCACAGGCCCCACCCAGAAAGGTCCTAGGAGGGCACCGTGAAGTCTCCACAGGGCGAAGTGACAATAATGGCACGGGCTGTTGGAAGTGCTGCATGAGGTGCTGGCCCCCTCGGGCTGGTGACCAGGGCATGGCACCATCCGGGGTGTGAGTGTGATGGGAGCCAAGGGGTCACGATGGCCAAAAGGAGATAAGTTGCTGCGCCACGGGTTGGGGACCCACAGCCTCGAATTCCCCAGCCCCTCCTTGTGTGTGCTCAGTTCCTAGCAGGGCAGGCGCTGCGTGGCTACTCATCCACAGCTGACTCTGGGCCTTGTGGGGAGGGCTTGAGGTGAGGGATTCCCCTGTGCCTGCTGGAGGATCTCCCTCATCCTGTGGCCCAGGCAGGAGTCAGGGGGAGGAGCAGAGATGTCCCCTCTCCCTCCTGCCCACCCAAAGGAAAGCCAGGTGGGTAGGGGAGCCCTGGACTTATCCAGGTGGGTCTGCTTCCTGGAGCTGGGAGAGGAGGGAACTGGGGACCGAGGACCCTGAAGGGAATGGAAAGGGCCCACCTTTCTTGTCTCCAGCCCAGCAAATGCAACCCTGTCATAGGGACTTCAGATTGCTTTTTCATCTGCTTGGTTAAGCTTCCCTCACCAAATCCATGATGTCCCCTTTTGTGTGAGCCCAGCAGTACTGTTCATAAAGACCCTCCCAAGGCTGCCAGGGTGAGGGGACTCATGTCTCAGCTGCCTGCCTCCTATGCTTGCTCCTGGATGCCCCACTTCCACCAGGCGACAGGTGGCTGTTCAGGTGTCCCCTTCACAAGGGATGTGTGTGAGGTGAATGAATAAGTCAGTACACCATCACTTCTGTACATTAATGGCTACATTTTTTTCTTTGGTTCTCTGTGAGAAAAGATTTCCCCACTCCCGCAAAAGAAAATCTTTTTTTGTTGATTTGTTTCCAGAAGAAAATCTTAATGGCAGGACTGGTGCTGCTTTTCCAACCTGAAAGACCAATTGGAGATTTCCAGGGCTGTCCTCCTATCTGACAAAACACAAAGGAAGCCTCTGGTGGCTGAGACACCTGGCGGTTTCGTTCCCACCCATGTGCTCCTTTGGCTTGGTGCTGTTTATCCAAGACCCGAATAGCCAGTGCCTTGCACCAGTTGGCACAGTGCCACGTCATGCCGTTATTGTGCATCTTCACGACCACTGCTGGGCGGGGTGTGGCTCAGTGGATGTCCACCTTGCTGTCAGCACTCAGGGTCCGGAGGACCTGAGCTTCTCACGATTGGTGTTCTAGACTTAATCAGCTTAGCTTATCAAGTTGGTTTTTACATGGAGGATGAACTGCTTTAGAGTCTTCTTTTTTTTTTGGTACCGGGGATCGAACTTGGGTCCTTGAGCTTGAGCAGCAGGCGGCAAAACCACTGAGCTAAATCCCCTGCCCTAGATTCTTCTTAATCATGTGACAATCCGTGCAGTCACTTGTTCAAGTTGGTTAGATCTCATTGGTTAGGTCACAGTTCATAGGTTAATTATTACAAGGCTTCTGAGCAAAATTCGCCTTCTCCATTAGAGTCTGTATTTTCACATCAAGCTTTCTCTGCAACAAACATTTTAACAAATGTCAGTTGCTATAGCCAGGACTCATGGTCTCAAGGTAATAGTCATGAGAACTGTTCAGACATCGTTACTAATACTTGTTAGTTTATGCAGTGCTGGGGACTAAACGCATGCCCTTCCACGTGGTAAGCAATGTTCTATCATAAGCTGCACCTCAGCCCTTGATACATATTTTATTTTAGAGACAGGGTCTTGCTCTATAGTCCAAGCTGGCCTTGAACTCACTATGTAGCTCAGGCTGGCCTCAAATTTAGGCTTGTGGTGAGTGATCCTCCTGTTTCAGCCTCCTGAGTGCTGGGATTACAGGTGTGTGCCACCATGCCCAGTGATAACTATTTTAATAATGTACAATGATATTTGTGCTTTTTAGGAAACTGACAGAAACTGGATTTTTATCATGTCCAGACCCAGAATAAATGCAGGTCACAGTTGGATATTAGGGTAACTGGTGTGTACACATTTGCTAACTCTTCCCTTCCATCTCCACGGTCATGGCTAATCCCACTCTTTCCCATCTGCAGAGAAACAGGCTTTCATTCTTCACCCTGCATAAAGACCCTTGCAGTCTCTATTTCAGTGTGATTATGTATCAAAGCCGGAACACAGATCTCTAAGGTTTGTCGTAACTTATCCCCCAGGTAGTTAACATACATGAGCCTCAGTTTCCTCATTTGTGAACTAGCAGTAACTATCACAATATCTTCTTTCTAAAATCGACTTGTGGATTAAAGAAGAAAATAAGCATTAAGTGTCTGGTATGTTACACTCTGGGATATTTGCTATCATGGGAACAAGACTCAAAAGTGACCCAGAATAAAATATGCCAGGAAACTGGACATGGTGACACATGCCTGTAATTCCAGCACTCTAGGAGGCTGAGACAGGAGGATCACAAGTTCAAGCCCAGCCTGGGCAATTTAGCAAGACTCTATCTCAAAATTTAAAAAGGACTGAGAACATAGCTCATTATGAAGGCCTTGGACTCAATCCCTGGTACCACAAAAGTAAATAAATAAATAAACAAACAAAGTCTTGGGAGATGCAGTGTAGCAGTCTGATTCAGTGACAGTCCCCAGCAGGGGACCAAAGGCTCTGCCTTTGGCTGCAGATCCTGCCTATCTTCCCATTTACTTTGCAGATCTGAGGGGCTGGGCCAGATGGGGGTGAGCCACTGGATGGCACCTGGCCTGTTGGGCACCTGGGCGGCCACTACCCCCTGCTAGTCACACAAACTTCCCCATAGAGCTGGGGTGACCCCAAACTCCTCAGTGCAGTCCCCAGGATACATTTCACAGCCTTCTCCTCTCCCTTTTAAATAATAACCATCTCCCTAGCCCCAGCAGCAGCACCCAAAGGTGCTTGTCCTGAGAGAGGCCCCCGCTCCTGCGGACCCCTTTGTAGCCCAAAGTGATTCTGTCCCTGCCATGAGACCAAGGGACCTTCCTGCGGCTGAGCAGGTGCCCTCTTGAAAGACGGCATCACAGGATCTTCCAGCTGTCCTTGTGCTTGTGTGACCGCTGGTGGCCCAAGGGGATAGATGAAGTAGGCTTTTATTCCTGTTCTCTTTGCAGGCTTCCAGAGGAGCACCTGAAAGCCATCCAGGAGTACTTGAGCTCCCAGCTGGCCCTGGACTCTGACTTCGTGAAGACGGGCTCCAGCAGCCTCCCTCACCTGAAGAAGCTAACCTCACAGCTCTGCAAGGAGCTCCATGGGTAACGGGGCCAGGAGGGCAAGGACAAAGGGGAAGAGGGCATGGCCATTAGCCGAGGGTGTAGTGGCGCACAACTGTAATCCCCAGGAGGCTAAGGCAGGAGGACCAAGAATTTGAGGGCAGCCTGGGCAACTTAGCAATTTAGCCAGACCCTGCCTTAAAATAAAACATAAAAGGGGGCTGGGGATGTGGCTCAGTGAGAAGGCCCTGGGTTCAATCCCCAGTACTGCAAAAAAAACAGAGAGAGAGAGGAAGAGAGAGGAAGAGAGAGAGCAGTCATCAGAGTGAAGCTCTGTGCGTGCGTGTGTGTGTGTGTGTGTGTGTGTTGGGAATGGAACCCATGACCTGGCGCATGCTAGGCACAAACTCTATGCTAAACTCCACCCCCCTACCTGTTTTGTTTGGAAACTAAAGTTAATCCCAGTTGCTCAGGGAAGGGAGGAGAGGCGGAAGCACAGTGTGGCCCTTTCCTATCAGCCCAGGACCTGGCCCTTTAGACTTTTGCTGCTGCTCTGCTTTTCGGCAGAAGCCACATGCATCAAGCCCATAAGAGCACCTAGAGGAAACAGTCTACTTTCTACATGGGTGGGGTTGGCCCAAGGCTTCCAGAGACAGCAGTTTTTTCAAGTAAGCTAATTCACCAAAACTTCAGTTTTCCAATCTGAATTCATTGAACAGCCAGTCGCAAAAATTCTCACTTTTTTCCCCAAGAGTCTTTTGAGTTTACATTTTTTTCATTGCATTAACCTTAAAATGAACTTCAGGGTTAAATACAGTTTGTTAGAAGTGCAAAAGTAAGGCTGATACATTAAATGCCTAAAGCATGCAGGGAAAAATAACATTCCAAAGCCTCTGAAAGAAATCACAAAGAGCCAGAACAAACCCATCGCAGATGAAAGGTCAGCATTTTGGCTGGAAAAACAGCATTTCCTATGGCAAGGATCTTCAGCCTGTGCAGTTTTGCATGGTTTTGATTTCTCTGGTGTGGGGATAGTGCTTAGCTTCGTTAATATGCAGAAAAGAATCTTTCACCATCAGTAATCAAATTCAGCTTTCCTCTCGAAAGCTCTTAAAAGCACAGTCAGTACATTTGATAAATTTGACAAGTAATTTCTGTGACAAATTGAGCAGTCATCAAATTGGCCAGACGGGCTTAATTTGAATGAATTGGCTTTCAACTAAGGGCACTTTATAGCCAGTTGGACCCAGAACCATCATTTTTATGGGTTTCCTTGGTAGAATTTGTTCTGTTTGATGCTAATGATCATTTATCACCAGGGGAAGAACACATACAAATGATACTTTCCTTTGAAAAAAAGACAACACATCATTTCATGATGACTGATTACAGCAAGCTTCTTATTTCTAATTTAATGACATCCTGGTGTTCATGGTGCCCTCGCTGAGGCCGAGACATGCTGTAAGTCTTTCTGCTACACTTCTGCCAGACACTTCCACACATTGGCAGCTTTTCTCAGATACCTTGTTGTTACCTGGCATCTGGGTCACCTCATCGCTATGGTGACCATATCCCCCCCCCAACTTGCCTACTTTCCTGGTCCACTCTGTCGGAGTGAAAAGCTCCCTCAGCTTCTCGCTGTTCCCTGTTTCTATTTACTGAACAGCTAACTTCAACAGTGTTCGAACTGCTTTGATTAGGACAGGTGTGTTCATTCATTTATTCGCTCATGTTTAATAAACATGTAATGGGGGCCTCGCCTGAGCCCTGTTGTGGGTGTTGTGATACAGCCAAATTAGTGAATTCCCAGTACTCAAGAGACTGAGGCAGGAGGATCACTATGAGTTAGTTGGAGGTGAGTTCAAGTGAGCCAGCCTGGGCTGCATAGTGAAACCCTATCTAAAAAACAAAAAACCGGGCCAGGGATTTAGCTCAGTGGTGCCACTGCCTGCCTTGTAAGCGCAAGGTCCCGAGTTCAATCCCCAGTACTATAAATAAAATAAAGGATAAAGGAAGTGGGATGTAGTGGTGCTTGCCTGTAATCTCAGCACTCTGGGAGGCTGAGGCAGGAGGATCACAAATTCATTGCTTGGGCAACTCAGCAACTTTAAAGAGATGTTGTCAAAACAAAACAACAACAACGGACAAAATCAGAAATACAGGGGAAAACAGCATTCTTCATAGAAAACCCTAAAGATTCAATTTGTGTGCCTTTGTGTTCTTTGCATGACAAGTCAAAAAGGGAGAGCAATGGAGGGAGTCCTATTTGCTCTTAAAACATGTCCTGAAGTAGTGCTTTAGAAAATGTTGTGGCCTGGAATTCCTTTATGAAATGATAACTCAAACAGAGTCGGACTGTCCGCAGAGGGACCAGGCAGCTCTGGGAAAGGAAGTGGGACCTAGGACCTTGCAGCCCCACCACTTGCCTCTCCCAGCAACAGGGCCCACAGCCTCCCCAGCCTCACCTCCCTCCAGCCGGGGTCCCTGAAGGAGTCCCAAGGAGGGCCCTCCCTCCCTCCTTCCCTCCCAGTGCTGGGATCTAACCCAGGGCCTGGTGCTTGCTGGCCAGCACTGTACCACAGAGCTGTACCCCAGCCCTGAGATACCTTTCCGGAGCCCATAAGGGTAGCAGCATCCTTGAAACTACAGGTTACAAATACTCAAGGGTGGCATGGCCTAGGACAGGTGGGCTTGCTTGTAGCTGAATGAACGAAGCAGAGCTCATAAAATGGACTAACCCAAGAGAACTCTGGGAAAGGGCTTATTACGGGATACAGAGGAAAATAAACTCAGCTCTATACATATTACAAAATATCTAAGCCAGGTGTGGGGGCACAGGCCTGTAATGCCATTGTGCAGGAAGGAGCCTGAGGCAGGAGGGTCACTGCAAGCTCAAGGACAGCCTGGGCTACACAGCGAGACCCTGTCTCAACAACAACAACAACAACAAAGCAATAACAACCAAAGAAAAATCTAAATGGGTTAAGAAATTAAACATATGCAACAACACACAAAACACCCATATATACATATATAACCCAATCTTAAAAAGTTAGAAAGAATCTCAAGTGAGAAAATAATTGTTTCTTAGATATACTGGTGACAAATTTCTAACTATAGTTAACAAAAACAAATTACCAAGGGGAAGATGAAAACTAAGAGAATAAAAATCATAAATCACTTCATAATAAAATTCATCTCATCTGGGATAAAAATAACACTATAATGCAGGGGAAAAAAGTAAAGCGCCCAGGTTAAATAAAAAGCAAAGAAAAATGTAAAATGTGTAGCAACATACAAAAATGCTAACAAAATTCCCAACTGAAAATTGGCAAAGGTGATGAACAGTTTATACAAAGAGAAATACAGTAAAAGTCAATTAGAAATCAAAAGGCATCAGAGATTAAAGATATCTAAATCCGCGTGCATGTGTGTGTGTGTGTGTGTGTGTGTGTGTCTGTGTGTGTGTGTGTAGAGGGTGCTGGGGACCAATCCAGGGCTTCCACATGTTATAGTCATCAATATTTTTCTCTCAGTTTTATTAGTGTGTGTTCGTGATACTTGGTAATATATTCAGGGTGGGGAAGTAGATTCTTTTTACTTCCTCTTTCCCTCCCCTCCTTCCTGGCTCCCCTATCCCCACCACCCCATCCTTTCAAAGAAAAACTCTTTGGTTTCTTATATAGTCATTAATATTGAAGAGCAGTATTATGCACATTTAAAAAGTGAAAATAGAAAAACAGAGATGCAGGCAAGATACAGCAACAGCAGGTCTGAAAAGAGCAGGTGGCCAGCCAGGCGTGGCAGCACACCCCTGCAATCCCAGCACCCTCGAGGCTGAGGCAGGAGGATTGCCTTGAGTTTGAAGCCAACCTGGCCTGGTTAGTGAGTTCAAGGCCAGGCTGAACTACATAGCAAGTGGCCTGGTGGTCGGTGGTTGGCACTATGGCTCAAGGGTTTATCTTTGGTTTTCCTATCATTGAGAATAAGGAAGGAAGGAAGAGCTACAGGAACCGAGCTGTGAGGAGCCTTTATTTATAATAGCAAACATCTCAATGTAACCCAGGATCTAACAGTCAATTCTGGCCCGCCTGCTCCACACACAGTTGAAACTATTAGAATGCTAAACATGCACAAACCCAACTAGGTTTTGATGAAATAATAAGGGTGAAATAGAACTCAAAACTGTCTATCCTGCTGAAGACGAGGTGAGAACAATAGAGATGAGAAGGGAAAAAAGACTCCATAAAGCCCTGGTGTCCTCGAGGAGGGGAAATCCCGGAAATCCCGGTGGCCTCCCCTAGGCCTCTAGGCTGGCGGGGGATTTGCATAGGAATCCGCCCCCGCCCCGCACTCGGAAGCCCTGCCATCTAAAATGCAGATTCCAGTCCCAATCAGGTTATTTGCATTTCTAACCAGGGCTGTGTGTGATTCCTATAAACATGAAAGGCCTGGAGCCATGGACTCCTAAATGATTTCTAGAGTTTTGTGACTCTAGATTTGCATTTTCTGCCCTCTCTAGTGCCTGAGCTGTAGCCCAAGTAAACGCGGCCCCACGCGTCGGGGCCCGGCTGGCTGCGGACGGGAAGGGTGGCAGGGTCCCGGGTGGGCCGGGGCTGGGGCCCCTTGATCTTTGCCCGGGCTTGTCCCCCGAGTGACCTCCACTCCACCCCAGCCTGCTCCGGGCCTCGGTTCTCGGTTCTCGGTTCTCGTCCGTCCACTAACCCTTGCTCTCTCCTCGTCCTGGCCCAGGGAGGTCGTGCGCACGCTCCCGTCCTTGGAGTCCCTGCAGAGATTGTTTGACCAGCAGCTCTCCCCGGGCCTCCGCCCGCGCGCTCAGGTAAGGGGACTCGGGTTCCAAAGCAGCGACCCCTAAACCAAGGAGGGAAGGCTTAGTGGTGTCCCCGGGCTCAAAAGGAAGAAGGGGGCCCTGACCACCCCATGTCTGGGGAGCAACTCCGGGCGCTGAGTGGGGGTGGGAACCCCAGCGTCCTGCCCTCTCCCCAAAGGCATCTCCACCACCACCTCCACCGGGTTTTGGGGTGGGGAGAAAGGTTCCACGTTATACAGCCATCAGCCAGACTGCTTATTTACTGCGGGACAGTGATGGAAGCAAGGCCTGTTGCTACTGATTTTTCTAATCAGCAACTGAAAGGAAAGAAAAATAAGAGGTACCCAAGGTTTTTTTTTATTCTTTTCTTTTTCTTTTTGCGGTACCAAGGATCGAACTCAGGACCTTGCACTTTCGAGGCAGGTGCTGTGCCACTGAGCTAAATCCCCAGCCCGGTTTTTTTTTTTTTTTGGTACCAGGGATCGAACTCGGGTCCTTGTGCTTGCACAGCAGACAGCGAAACCACTGAGGTAAATCCCCGGCCCCTTTTCTTTTTTTTTTTTTTTTTTGAGACAAGTTCTCACTAATGTCCAGGTTGGCCTCCAACCTGGATTGCAGGTGTGTGCCACCTGCCTAGCCTAAATCTTTTTTTTGCATATTGGGGATTGTACCCGGGGTCTTTGCCCTGACTCACATCCCCAGCTCTTTTTATGTTTTTGATTCTTTTTTTTTTTTTGGTACTGGGGATCGAACTCGGGTCCTTGCGCTTGCGCAGCAGTCGGTGAAACCACTGAGCTAAATCCCCAGCCCTCTTTTTATGTTTTTGAATATTTATTTATTTTGGTTTTCTGAGATAGAGTCTTGCTATAGATAGTTTAGGCTGGCCTTGAACTCCTGGTGACCCTCCTGCCTCAGCTTCCCAAGTGCTGGGATGTGTACAATGCCTGCTTCTAAATTATTAGTAGTTCCTCTTTCCCCTCTGAGGACCAAGATGAAGATGTCCCTCCCTGCTCATGACCAGGCAGGGGCCAAAGTTGTGTTGCCCACTAAGCATAGATATGTGTTTTTAGAAAACACATATGTGAGTAAAGTTAAAACAAAACAAAAAACACCAAGCTAGCAGGCACAGTGGCACATGCTTGTAATCTTAGCGCTCTGATGGCTGAGGCAAGAGGATCACCATGAGTTCAAGGCCAGGCTGAACTACATAGTGAAACCTTGTTCCAAAAAAACCTGGAAAATAAAAATAATTAAAACAAGCAAAACCAGTACCATGACAGGAAATATTTGGGATAGAGGATTAATATGTTTTTTAAAAAAACAACAACCCATTAATGTGCTCTTTAAAAATAAGTTAGCACAACCCAAGTTTTTAAGTGGGAAAAGGCTATAAAAAAACAACAACTGTGGGGCTAGAGGTTTAGCTCAGTGGTGCCACACCTGTCTCACAAGCCCAAGGTCCTGAGTTCGATCTCCAGTTCTGCAAAAAAACCTGTTGGCTCCAGGTGGATAGGACAGGCAGTGTGTACCCACAGTACACCCTGGTGAGTAACCAAAACACACCTTCAAAACAAGGTGGTCTCAGCTTAGCAGGCACGAGGTCGACTGCTGAAGGTGATTGCTGAGTTAGACCCCACTAGGGTCTAGGGTTTAGGGTGGCACCCATGTTCTGGGGCTCCCGCCTCTGTCCGAGGGAGTGGAAATGGGTCTCTTGAAGGACAGTGTGGCCGCTTGTTTGAAAATGTGTACTGCACCTTTTCCAGCAGTTCCACATGTTAGCAGCTGTCTAGGAACTCCAGATGGGATGTGCACTGTAGCTGTGTCTGTCTCTAAGAGCGAAAGCATAGGAAGCCACACATTGATGTAGAGAATTAGATTTAGAATTCCACCCCAAGGTGCACGCACTGTCTTGGAGACCTCCTGGCAGACTTGGGTCAGTGTGGACGGTGACAGGAATTCGCCCAGCAGGGGGTTTTTTGTTTGTTTTTTGTTACCTGGGATCTAACACAGGACCTTGCGCTTTCCAGGCAGGCGCCAGAACCACTGAGCTAAATCCCCAGCCCCTAGCAGGGCTTTAACCCCGAGGCCCCTCTGATCACCAGGGTTATCACCAGGCTGGGGTTCACAGAAGGAAGGGATCAAGCGAGGGGACTTAGAGTTTGCCCGCCTCCTTTGCTTGAGCTGTAGGGGAACCAAAACTTTCCCTCTACTCCTTGAAGGTTTGATAATTTGAGTCTCACCAACAGATTGACAGCAGAGGGACTCGCAGGAGAAAAGGCGTATGAACTGTTTACTGTAAGAGCCTCGCAAAATATGACTCAGAGAAGGGCCTGATGATCAATCGAAGTTTTTATACTATTCTGAGGCTATAGGAAAGAATAAGGCCAGCACTCCAGAGGCTGAGGCAGGAGGATCGCTGTGAGTTGGAGGCCAGCCTGGGCTACAGAGTGAGTTCAAGGCCAGCCTGAACTACATAGCAAGACCCTGTCTCAAAAAAAAAACAAAAACAAAATAAAAATAAAACCTAAATGACAGCTATGTCAAAGTCTCTGAGCGAGGCACCCCCTTGACCTGTCCTAGGCACAGACAGGAAATGAGGGACCGCGAAGTGATTCTTTGGTACCTGACTTTTGGAGAAGGTTGCACATTTCTTTTACAAAAGGAGTTTCTCGGACTATTCCTGTGTCTGCAGTTTCTCTGAATAGCCATCTTGAAATAAGCCAAAGAAGCATATTTTGAGGTGGCCTATTTTGGTCTTCCACAGAATTTTTTACAGAGAAAAATGTTTTTATATTCTATTTATACAACTGAAAAAATTTGCCAGAAAAAAAAATTTTCTTTTGCTTTCTTTGAAGTGAATGATAGGTTAATTTCTAAGAAAGCAAAAGCAAATCTAGAGAAACCAGGGGCCTTGCCAGACTCTGGAATTTAAATAGTCTCAGCGGAAGCTTGCACATCGGAATCTTTGAGGCAGATGATGACATGGCATGCGTCAGGACCCAGTCATCTCCCAAACACCATTTCCACAGGGTTTGGGCTCAGCTTTCCCGTACATGACAGGTGGGATCCGCATGTCACCACAGCAGGGTGGAGATGGCAGGGACATTGGGTGGTGGCAGCATTGCTGATTTTTAGAGAGATGGGGTACTGCGGATCGAACCCAGCACCTTTATGCTGAGCTGCATCCCTGCCCCCTTTTTTAATTTTTAATTTTGAAATACGGTCTCCTTAAATTTCCCAGACAGGGCTCAAATTTGCAATCCTCCTGCTTCAGCCTCCCAGAATACTGGGATTACCGGCATGTGCCATGGAGCCCGGCCATGCTGGTACTGTTGATGGCGATGCTGTCTATGGGCATCCCACCCTGAACGTGCCCAATCTCTTCTGTTAATGGTGATGCTATTGCTGGTGTGGTGGAGGCAGCGGTGACTCTGGGGTGGTGATGGTAGAAGTGGTGTACTTTAAACGGGTAGAAAATCGAGGTCAAAAGCAAATGTACCCTGGCTACACGTTAAGCAAGGGACAAGGGAAAGGGTCATCACTTGGTTGTTGGTCAGACATGTGTCTGATTTCTCAGCCTACTCCAGTTTTTGGGTACTGGGAATCGAACTCAGGACATCACACCTGCCAGGCAGGTACCGTACCACTGACCTATATCCCTGGCCCACATATCCTAATTCTTATTTCCTTTTTTTTGGTACCAGGGATCAAACTCAAGACCTTGCGCTTACAAGGCAGGCGGTAGCACTACTGAGCTAAATCCCCATCAACCTAATTTTTATTTTCATTCCCTTTCCCTTTCTTCCTTTGCGACTCCCTACATCTCTTGATCCCTTCCCATTTGAGAAAGATCTGTCTCCCTACTTCTATTATCAATTATTTTATTTATACCTTGGGTTTCTCATATAAGAGAAACCATGTGATATTTATGTCTGATTTATTTCACTTAACATTGTGGTCTCAAAGTGTGTTTTAGTTACTTTCTTATTGCTGGAACACAACACCTGGAACACAAGTTAAAGGAGGAGAAGTTTATTTTGATTCTCAGTGTGTAGAGGTTTCAGTGCACAGTTGGCTGGTTCCAAGTCATGGGGCATCACAGAGAGGAAACAGTCCATGGCATGGCAGGCAGGAAGCAGAGAGGGATGAAGGGAAGAGGAGGAAAATATACTCTTCCAGGCCACACCCACAGTGACCAACCTCTTCCCACAAGGCTTCACCTCTCCACTTCACACCCAGCCATAAACCCATCAGTGGAGTAACCCAGTGTCACACACCCACAATCCAGCCACCTCCCCAAATCCCCACCTGTGAGCTCATCAGGCTTTGGAGGGGACATCTAGCTATAAACCATAACGAGATGCACCAATTTTCCTACAAATGACTCAAATTTATCTTTTTTATGGCAGAGGTAGATGAAATAGATAGAACACTTGAAGTTATAGGCATAGGAAAGGACTTCTGAACAGAACCCCAGTTGCACAGGAAATAGTACTAAGAACCATCAAATGGGATCATACCAAATTTAAAAGTTTCTGCATAAGAAACAAACAAAAGAGTAAATGAAGATGGCGCCTTGTTGACAGCCATCTCTGGTGCCCGGCAGCATGCCCGGCTGAGGTCGGGAACTTGGTGCCAGGTAGGCAGGGTCCAAGTCCTGCTGCTCCATTCATTGGCTGTGTGAGTTCAGACGAGCAACTGCAGCCCTCTGAACCTGGTCACCAAGCAGCCCTGCTCAGTGTCCTTGTGGGCTGGGTGCTACTTCAAGCCCCAGGGCTGCAATGCTAGATGCAGTCTTAGTTGCGTCCTGGCTGCTCTTGGTCTTAGTTCTCGTGGAGCCTGGGTTCCAGCAGGAGAAACCTATAGTGAGCCTGCAACTCGAGCTCTCAGTGACTGAGCGAAGCAGGGAGATCTGCTGGAGGTGACCCAGGGACTGTCTTAGCGGGCATTCATGCTCACGGTCACTTCTTTGTGGATCTGAGTGACAAGGACCTTGAGTGACAAGGAAGAGCCCTTCCCAGGTGGAATCCAGGTCTCTGGAGAGTCCTGGAAATTGTAGCTCACAGTCAGGCGTGGTAGCTCAGCCTGTAATCCCAGCATTCAGGAGGCTGAGGCTCGGAGGGTCACTGCTGAGACAGAAGCTACACAGTGACTTCAAGGCCAAGCTGGACTGCATAGTGAGGCCCTGTCTCAAAAAAAACCCAACAAAACCTCAAAGTGTAGTTTAAGCCAGGCCTGATGGCACAGGCCTATAATCCAAGCAAGGATAAAGCAACATACAAAAACACCGATTTAGCAGTAGATTAGAAGAAAGCTGGGTGCGGTGGCACATACTTGTAATCTCAACACTCTGGGAGGCTGAGGCAGGAAGATCACAAGTTCAGGTCCCACCTTGGGCAACTTAGTGACTTAGCTAGATCCTGTCTCAAAAAAAATAAATAAAAAGTAAAATGGAAGGCTCTAGGGATGTAGCTCAATGTGAAGGGTTCAACCTCCAGTGTGGTCAAAAAGAAAAAGAAGTTGTAGCTCAAGGCAGGTCAACCATGAGGCCGAGAGTGGCTTGGGATAGGATCTACTTCATACAGGGTCCCCGGCATGTGGGTCCTGTCTCCCTGTGGTGGGGAACAGCCAGCCCAGGGTTTTAAGCTATAGGCCAGGAAAGCAGACCAGGAAACCCACGAGGGAGATGTGAGTGGGAGAGGGAGCGGGCCTAGATCTTGAAGCCACGGAGTGGGTGGGAGAGGCAGGTTTAGAGGGAAGAGCTATTTTTTGGCTGTGTGGGTTTTGAGATGTTCGCAGCTAACCCTGGCATCCTTGTCCAGAGGGCAGTGGTGCTACGCTCGGGCACCTGGAGGATGGAAGCAGCAGCTCCCTGCAGTCGGGCCGCCCTGTTCCTTTTTGTCCTGTCTCCCAGGTGCCCTGCGAAGCCAGTCCGGCCAGCATGGTGGCCAAGCTCAGCCAGCTGACAAGTCTGCTGTCCTCCATCGAAGACAAGGTACTGGGGATCTGTGGCTTCTGAGGCCCCCCTTTTTGTACAGAGAATCACAGGCTCAGCCTCTGCGTTCCCCTTGACGCTGTCGTTGCTGCTGCCCACAGGTCAAGGCCTTGCTGCACGAGGGTCCCGAGCCTCCTCACTGGCGTTCCCTCATCCCTCCCGTCACGTTTGAGGTCAGTGGTCCTGGGGTGCCTGGCCTTGCACCCCACATTTGAGGGGACGGACATCTGGGTCCTTTGGAAAGAGGGCTTTGGGCTTGGGCTGCAGAAGGGCAGGGAACCCCATGGTGGAGAATGGCGGTGGGTGGACCTCCCAGCTCGGGCGATGGTTAAACATCTGAGTTGCTGCCGTGAAGCATGCGTGACACCCCCTTGATGGGGACCCAGTGAGGGGAGAGCTCTTTGTTGGCTGTCAACTGTGCCCTTCTCAAAATGGCAGTCATGAGACATTGGACCCAAAACTGGCTGCAAAGCAATGCACTGGGGTGAGGCATGGGGTGGTTGAGAACATGAGAATTTCTGTGATTTCTCCAAGAGGGACTGATTGGAATCTCCAGGCTTGGACCCAGAAGTGGATTTGGCTTCATGAGTCTGCTGTGATTCTTGTACACCCGACCTGCCTGGTCCCAGATGTAGAAAATCAATCTCTCTCTCTCTCTCTCTCTCTCTCTCTCTCTCTCTGTCTCTCTCTCTTTCCCTACCCATACCCCAAAGTCCTCTTACCCTGGAAATACTCTTATAAAAGACAGATTTCCATTTTCAAGCATGCCTAGGACAACCCCCCCCCCCATTATCAGTAAATGTTCGATTAGTGGTTGTAACAGGACCTGAGTTTAGAACTATTAATTACTCAAGCCCTTTCTGGAAGTAGCCGACACATGCCATTAATGAGTGTTGTTGGAGCAATCAGTGAATGAACCATTTCCCCACACTTCATCTGTTTCCTCCACCAACCCCATGGGTGGAACCGCTGAGGTGAAGGTGAGAGATTCCCCAGGAGGCTGCAGAATGTGTACAGGTTGGGGGACAGGGTCCTGATGTCCCCACATGGCCTTGTAGACTCAGGGCTCACAGGTTGGCATTGCCAAAGTGGGGCCAGAAAATCAACGAACCACATCTGTCTTTCTACAAAGGTGAAGGCCGAGTCTCTTGGGATTCCCCAGAAAATGCAGCTCAAAGTTGACGTGGAGTCTGGGAAACTGATCATTAAGAAGTCCAAGGACAGCTCCGATGACAAGTTCTACAGCCACAAGAAAAGTAAGGTCCCCATGCCTGCCGTGCTCTGGTTCGACTGGGGTTTAGTGTGACTGATCAGTAGGTGACGATCAATAGAAGACTGATGACAGCAGACTGGGGAGAAGCAGGACCTGCCAGGCACATTCCACCCCTTTGCAGAGGGTGATCCCCCCTGGCTGCATACCATCCTCACCATAATGTGGGCATCCTGTCCTGCTCTGAGGTAACCTCTATGGGGCCTCCCCTGCCCTCTGTGAATCCCAAGGGGAGCCTACACCTTGCTGAGCACACTTGGTGCATCCTGCCATAGCAGCAGATGCGTGTGTGCGCGTGCATAGTGATTACATGACAGTGTCTCTTCCCCACACACAGCCAGTCTGACCCACCCTGTCACCTGCCATGCCTGGTACAGGCCCTGGCCAGATGGCATGGTGTCCTTGGCTGGTGGTGTCTTTAGTGTAGCACATACTGACTGGTGCTGATGCTCGTGCATTCTGGAATCCAGCTGAGCAAATTCACATCCCAGCTCTGCCACTTAGCAGCGAGTCTTTGGGTTTGTTACGTCCAAGCTGCCTTAGCAGCTGTGTGATCCTGGCCTGCTTCCCAGGGTCTCCATTTCCTTTGGTGTAAATCAGCGATGCAGAAGATTAAGTGACTAACACAGGAGAGAGCTGGCGCATGGCCTTCTCCGAGGCCGGCTGTGACCCTAAGGCATGAACTGCTGAGGCTTTATCTCTTGCCGGTTGGGTAACCTTGCCCACAGACAGGGAACTCTTCACCTGGCAAATGCATACAGAGAGGCTGCTGGGGGCAGGAGCCTGGGCATCCAGGCAATGGGTGGACTGATGAGGTGCCTGTCCCTGTGGAATTTTCACTCTGATGTATTGAATGGTCAGTAAATACTCAAATAAATGTGTTAATACAGTGGTTTCAGCTACCGATAAGTGCTGTTGGGAAAATAGAGCTGCATAATAGGATGGGGAAGGGCTGGGAAGAGGGAAGAGGTTTTTTGTTTGTTTGTTTGTTTTGGTACTGGAGATTGAACTCGGGACCTATTGCTTGCTAGGCAGGCAGCACCACTGAGCTAAATCCCCAGCCCTGTTGTTTGTTTTGTTTTTTGAGACAGGGTCTCACTGTGTAGCTCAGGCTGGCCTCGAATCAGTGATCCTCCTGCCTCAGCCTTCCAAGTGCTGGGAGTACAGGTGTGTGCCACCACACCTGGCCCGGGAAGGGGGTTTTTGTTTGATTTTTTTTTTTTTGGAGACAGTGTTTCACTGTGTATTCCAGGCTGGCCTCGAACTCACTGTGTATTCCAGGCTGGCCTTGAACTCTCAGCGATCCTCCTGCCTCACCCTCCTGAGTGCTGGGATTACTGGGGTGCAACCCCACACCTGGCTGAAGGAGCAGTGTAGAGCAGCCTGGGGCCTGCCCCTCTCAGCAAGAGGCACATGAACCCTGACTTCCAGGCTGAGAAGCAGCCAGTTGGACAGGGGCTGGGGAAAGCATCCAGCTTAGGGAATGACAGGTGAAAATGCTCTGAGGCCGCAGGAGGAGGGCCTTGAGGGAGAGCAGAAAGGGCCTGGCTAGGGGAGAGAGGAGTCCTGAGCAGGGGGGCTGGGTGCCAGCCTCAGTGGTGACGAGAGTGGTGACGAGTTTAGATGCTACCTCAAGTGCTCGGCAAGAACTCGAGTGCTGGATCCCAGTGCTATTGCACAGGGGCCCTTGGAAGGGTGGGGGTGGCTCTCAGGGTGGCAGCCTTGTTTCCACCTGGCATTGGGTCCAGGCAGGGGCTGGCAGGCCCAGGGTAGGGGAGCCGTGCACGGTGTCAGCTGTGCGTGTGGACCTGGAGTTTCCCAGGCCGTCCCCAGCTCTGGCTGATGGCAATGTCTCTTCCTACAGATAGTCACTGGATCTATATACTACACTAGATCGTAGCCAAAAGGCCGAGAAGCGATCATCACTGGATCTATAAAGGCTCTAGACCTCCCCTCAAAAGAACCCCCACCTTCACACAATAGTTTGTGTCCCTTTTCAGGTAGCCCTTTGAAACCAGAGGCCCTCTGGTGTACAGTAGCATTCCTGTTCCTTCTCCTTTTTTTACAGTACTGGTAAGCTACATTCCCCAGGCCTTTCTACTTTGTATTTTGAGTCAGTCTTTTACTAAATTCCCCAGGGGCCTGAACTTGCATAAGTATGTCCCATGCAATATTTGGGACATACTTATGTTTTAAAAAATCATTCACAGTTATTCTGAAATTTATCTTTAAGGGGCTGCCCTGCGTGTTGTCTGGTGATTTCAGCCAGGATGAACATCTTTTGTTCTTAGGTGGAATGGGAATAAAAAGAACAAGGATAAAAGAAAGTATAAAACCGGGCACATTGGCACATACCTATAATCCCAGCACTCTGGGAGGCTGAGGAAGGAGGATCAGGAGGTTGAGCCCAGCCTGGGCAAATTAGTGACTTATGGAGAACCTGCATCAAAATAAATGAAACAGAGCTGGGGATGTAGCAAGTCCCTAGAGTCCCAGGCACAGGCTCCACCCAGTCTCTCCCCAGCCACAGTCTGTGCACTTTGCCTGACAGCCATGCCCCCTGGGTAGCAGCCCTTGTCCCCAGGGATCCCTAGGGCTGGGCGTCCATGGGGCAGGAGGGGAGGTGATGTGTTCAGTGCTGACTCTGCACAGACCCTGTGCTGCCACAGTAGGATGGAGGCTAAGAGCACAGGAAGGCTGCAGGGATCCACCGTCTGGGTTCAAATCCTGGCCCTCCCACTTGCTGGCTGTATCATATTGGTCTGGTTGCTTAGCTTTTCTCTGCCTCGGTGTCCTTGCCTGTAAAATGGAAATAACAATGGCTTTCTTGGGGCTGGGGATTTAGCTCAGTGGTTTCGCTGCCTGCTGCGCAAGCGCAAGAAACTGAGTTTGATCCCCAGTACCAAAAAAAAAAAAAAAGGCTTTCTCATGTTGGTGTTGAATGAGAGGAATACTGAGCTCATCATGCATGCACAAGCACTTGGCAGGTCCTAGCCTAGCACCTAGTGAGTGGAGGTACCCAGGAGCAGGCTGTGACACTGAGGGTGAGGGATGCCCTGGGGCAGCAGGGAATAGGGGAGTAGGAAGTGGGGTGCGGTGAGGGAAAGGTACACAGGGTATGATCAAAATGTGCAGTGAATACTTAAATTTTAAAACCTTGTTGCAGTAAATGACACATAGCCATGAATGGCCCTCATAATCCTCCTCATTTCAAACACACTCATCCCACTGTCCTTGCTACTTTCTGAAGCAGTTCTGGAGTCCTCTTTCCTGAAGGTCTTTACCACTTTACCAAATGTGATCATAGTGAATGCTGCTGCCATCCAAGGAAGGGCAGGCTTGTAAAAGCACTGCAGTATATCCTCGCATACCTCATTCACCAGATCTCTGCAACTTCTGGGTCTTCCCCAGGGTCAAGATGACTACAAAAGGTCAACATATTGAATTGATTCAGGACATCGAGGCAGCTCCAACAGGTCTGGGCAGAGGCCAAGACAGATTAGCAGGAGAAGGGCATAAAGATTGGTTCCGGATAAGCTCTGTGTGACCCGGAAGTGCTCAGAGGAGGTGGAGACATGAGGCTGGCATTAAGCCTGTGTGAGTCCGGGCTCAGTGTGATGAAGGGGAGACTGAGGGGAAGGAGGCAGGCAGCACATGGGGCTGGCGGCTAAGTGTGGAAACGGAATCCAGGACTTAGCAGGGCCTGGGGGTTCAGATTCCTTTGTCTTAGAGATAGACAGGGATGCTCTTGCCCCCAGGTGTAGGGAGGGCATCATCCCATGATGATCTTATCACCTGCTTCTGGGATGGTCAGAGAGTCCTTTCTATAGCTGCTGATGCTCACACGCCTTCAGCTGAAAATATTCCCTGTGTCAGGTGCCCTACAGTGGGGTAGTGGATCCTGAGCCACATCAGTGGCATTAGAAGCCTAGGCATGCACCTGTAATCTCGGCACTCAGGAGGCTGAGGCAGGAGGATCACTGCTAGTTCACAGCCAGCCTGGACTACATAGTGAGACCCAGTCTCAAAAAACCAAAACAATAAATACAATAAAGGAAGCCGAGGTGATTTCCAGACCAGCCCTTTGTGACCTTAATCTGATGTCCTCTCCCTGGCCCTCCATTTAATCTCCAGTCTGTGAGAGAGCAGTAGCGTCCTGCAGGGCTTCAAGGAGGCTTAAAGGGAACTCAGTGAAGTACCTGGTACCTGGCATCAGGGTGCTCTGGACGGTGGGGCCGATCTTCCAGGGTTGTCGTGGGGAGGCTGAATGGAGCAGTGGGATGGGGTGGCGGTGACAGGCTGTCATCTTCCTGCAGAGTCGAGCTCCAGTGTCAGGAAAAGTGGGGGGCACTGACGGTGTGAGCAGGATCTATGCTGAGTTTTTAAAGTCCCGAGAGCTGATGTTGATGTAGTGTAAAGGGGGACAAGGTCAACACTGCACCCAATCAGCACAGACCCTCTGGGCCCCTGACTCCGCCCCTACCCAGCCGGGGAGTGTGGCTCCCTCTGTCCTGACTCCTGTCCTCTGGGGCCTGAATGACCCGGTCCTGCCCAGCTCTGTGCAGACCTGGTATCCAAAGGCGCCCACTCAACGGTGACCAGTTGCCCAGATGCTTCCTTACTGTTCATAAATCCCAGCAACGGCCCCATGCACCCCCACTTTAACATGCACTCCACGAAGGCCAGGATGTGGATCTCTCGCTCACCACAGAACAGTGCTTGGCAAGGAGGAAGTGATGCATAAATGCATACTGATTTATTTGTTTGTTTTTGAGACAAGGTCTCACTATGTAGCCCAGGATGGCCTTGAACTCAAGGCAATCCTCCTGCCTCAGCCTCCCTAGTACTAGGATGCCAGGAGGGTGTCACCTGGGGAGCTTCTAGTTTTACTAACGTGATGTGGAGAAAATGAGCCACTTACTGCCCCTGATGGAATAATCATTCTGATAAGCAAGCAGGGACCTGCAAGCAGATGTCAAGGAAAACCAGAAATTCAGGGGGAGGAGATGCAGCCTGAGAGAAGATTGGGAACGTCTGAGGGCATCCAGGGGCAGTGGTGCACACCGTGTTATAGGTAGTTTCCTGCTGCTGCTGGCAAAGCCTCCAGGACTCCCTTTGGTGGGATTCCTAGTAGGAGCTGGGTGTGGTAGCACTCGCCTATAACTCCAGCACTCGGGAGGCTGAAGCAGGCTCGAGTTTAAGGCCAGCCTGGGCTACATAGTGAGACTGTGTCTCAGAAACAAACGAAGACAGCAGTTGATGCCTCTGCTATTGTCACTTCCTTCAGAAAGCAGCACTCAGGAGAAAAAGGACTGAGACATGGTTCTGACAGCTGGGAGGCAGCTAGATAAAGCGCACTCACAGGAACCAAAATACCAAACTCAAAGCACCTGCCTGGGGAAACTGAGACCCTTGACTCAGCCCACAGAACCCACAAAGGGCCCAAGAGCTGACAGCACCGGGGTGGGGTCTGGGGACCGAGGGGCTGGAACGAGATGGAGGCTTGGACCCCTGGCCGAATAAGTGGACAAATGAATGAACTGCCATTTTCCTTAAGTCCTACAGCTCATCAAGTCTCAGAAGTTTCTGAACAAGTTGGTGATTTTGGTGGAAACAGAGAAAGAGAAGACTCTGAGGAAGGAATATGTTTTTGCTGACTCTAAAGTAAGTGACAGCGAAGTTGTGAAAGGGGACAAGAGGGCAGTGGGGGACAGCTGTCTTTCCAGGATGGTACTGTCGTTCGTCACCGTCTCACACCTGGGGAAGCTGAGGTCACAGCAGCTCTGGAAGAGCTCGGGGCAGCTGGGATGGGCTGGGTCACAGCTCCAGGAGGAAGAGCTGCCGTGGGCCTGGGGGGCAGCCCAGGGTGGCCCCTGTGCAGCTAGAGGCCAGTTCTCTGCCACCTGTTCATCCATCTCAATGTCCCACCCATAGCCAGGTGTGGGGGCTCACGCCTCTAACTGACACTCTTGGAGGCTGAGGCATGAGGATTGTAAGTTTAAGCCCAGCCCTAGCAATTTAGCAAGACCCTGTCCAAAATAAGAAAAGGGTGGGGATCTGGGGAGGTGGGACGGAGCTCTGGGGGTGACACACCAGGCAGGACAATGTGGGGGATGCTGAGAAGAACAAGGAAGTGGGAGCCAGACAGGTGACTAGAGGTAGAGAGAAAAATGGCCTTGCTGCGCAGCGTCCTGGTGCATGGGCATAGATCCCAAACCCAGTTAGCTCACCCCGTTGCTACAAGCTCGGGAGGGTTGAGACACCGAATCATGAGGCACCACCAACTACAGATGGTGTCCACACAGCTGGCCACCATCAGTCACAGCTTTGTGACCCAGAGTTCTCAGAGGGGACTCTGAGACTTGCAGTGAGGAGTTTGAATCATGTGAAATTGCTGGCTGTGTTTACATGAAGCAGTCAAAGGCTGGTCCTTTCCTATGGCCCGACTTGAAATTTTGTGTCCTCTTGTGCCATTTAAAGTCAGGCTCCCCCAGTGACTGAATCCTAAGAGAGCAGTGAGCCTGCTTTGCCCCACTGTGACCCAGGAAAAATAGGTGAAAAAGTGGAAGGCAGCTGTGACAGCCCTCACATGCTCTTTTCTTTTTACTTAGCTTCTGTAACTTAAAATTATTCTCACAGGTGAAATGGTAACAAATACAAATAAGTACAAGTTTAAAATAGAAACACCCATATACCACTAAAACACACCATACACCTTGGGCTATACCTTACCAGATGTGTTCTTTTCTTTTTTCTTTTGGTACCAGGGATCAAACTCAGGACCTTGTGCTTGCCAGGCAGGTGCTGTGCCACTGATTTACATCCCCTGCTCCCTTTTCTTTTCTTTTTTTGGGGGGTGTTTTATGTTTTTGAGACAAGGTCTTGCTATGTAGTCCAGGCTGTCGAACTCACATCGATCCTCCTGCCTCAGCTTTCTGAGTGATGGGATTATAGTGCTAGCCACACCACCGGGCTTTCCAGATGTTTTTTTAAAATCGAAAATACAATGTTGCCAGTCATACCATTTTGTCGTGTAACTTTTCATATGTAGTGGTATATTTTGGTCGTCTCTTTTTTTTGACAAAGTGCTTCTGCACTTCGTTTGTAAACCCTGTGGTACCCTCGCTTTTGTGACAGTTACTCACGGACCCCCCAGGACTGGGCCCGAAGCCTGCCCCTGAGTCTGGATCCCACACGTGCTGGGCAGGGCCTTGTTGAGGTGGGGTCTTTCGCAGAGCCTGATTTTCTCCTTAGTGCCCCTGCCCAGCCGTGCAGTGGAACGGCTGGGTCAGAGAAGCCTCTACTCGTGCCTCTGCACACTTGATTCCAAGCCGCTGTCCTGCCAGTGTGCACCGCTCATGCTCCTCGCTATGCTTTGGGTGCTGACCGAGTCCTTTGCAAAGGACGAGGCGGGGCCACGCTCAGTCTTGCCCCTTCCATCCGCAGAAGAGGGAGGGCTTCTGCCAGCTCCTGCAGCAAATGAAGAACAAGCACTCAGAGCAGCCGGAGCCCGACATGATCACCATCTTCATCGGCACCTGGAACATGGGTGGGTGCTGCTGCCCCGCCCCGCCCCGTCTCGCCTCGCCTCGCCTCGCCTCTGGCCCTGTCTTCCTGTTTCCTTGTCCACATGTGGGTGGGGACACCCTGGGTCTCCTGACTCCCTTCGCCAACCCAGCCCTTCCTCACGGCCCCTTTCTAAGGAATCCCACTGTCCTCTCAGAACAGGAAAATGAGTTTAAGACAGCTGTACCCCAAGAGTAGCCAGAGGAGGTTACTTCCGAATTGGAAGGTTTTACGTAAAGAATCTGAATATCTAGGTGAAGGGGCTCATATCTTAAGAAGCTCACCAAGGGGCAAAGCGGCCCAGGCCCTGAAGAGAACAGGCTGGGCATGGTGGCACATGCCTGTGATCCCAGCACTCAGGAGGCTGAGGCAGGAGGATCACCACAAGTTTGAGGCCAGCCTGAGCTACATAGTTCAAGGCCAGCCTGGACTGCATAGCAGGACCTTGTCTCAGAAACAAACAACAAAAAGAAATCTACCCCCAATTTATCCAGAAAGAAAAAGAGAGAGATTGCTAGGTAGGTAGAAAGGTAGAGGATTCCCAGTTAAATTTGAATTTTGTATAAAGAACAAGTAAGTTTTTAATATGGATATTTGGCTGGGAATAAATAAGTAAATACCAAATATAACTGCTAATAGAGCATATATACTTATATCCTAATACATTTTGTATACTAAATACAGTCATACCTTGATACTCAACTGCTTGGAAACTTATTGAATTTATTGATACATTCTGATGCACCCAAACTAGAACTTGTCTGTGTCAGTGGTCTCGTGACTTGCTGCCCTTTCTAGACAAATTTGTTGGGCACTTGTCACACTCCCGGCACTAATAAATGATGAGCACCCAGGTAGGCACCACTGTGTATAACATGTAAACTAAATAGAAATTATACTAAGCATTTAGTGAAAGTATTCAGCTAAAAATAGATACTGAAGATATACTAAATGGATGGTGGATAGATAGGCTAACCGTATGTGTTATACTGAATAATGTGGAGTAAGTCCTCAGCTAGAAATAGGCGAGCAGGGAGGAGATGCCCAGTTGCATCTGACTCAGTCTTTGTGCTTGCACGTGCTCACGCTGTCCTGCTGCACAAGGGAGGGGGCGAAAGACCTGGGAGGAGCCAGCTGGGGCCCGCTGCACCGGGCAGGGTAGGAGGGGCTCCACAAGCGGTCACCTGCCAGCCCTAGCTGCTCCTGCAACACGGGGGGGGGGGGGGGGGCGTAATTCCTGCCCGGCTGCGCCACAGTTTCTTCTTTTGGGCTTTAACATCGTCTTTCAAAAGAGACTTTCCCGGATTCTGACCCCTAGGGCATCCCGGTGTTACTGGCACTTAGATCTCTCTAAGGCCTTTGCCAGAAGGGCTTCACGTGACCGTGTGGCCCCTCCCCCCTGGCCGTTTCCAACCGGCCTCTGACTCACGTGGTGTTGGGTTTTGCTGTTGAAGGTAACGCCCCCCCTCCCAAGAAGATCACGTCCTGGTTTCTCTCCAAGGGGCAGGGAAAGACGCGGGACGACTCTGCAGACTACATCCCGCATGACATCTACGTGATCGGCACCCAGGAGGACCCCCTGGGAGAGAAGGAGTGGCTGGAGATACTCAGACACTCCCTGCAAGAAGTCACCAGCATGACTTTTAAAACAGTGAGTGAGTGGGACTCTGGGTCTCTGCTTGGCTAGGAGCAGCTCAGGGGCCAGGGCAGCTTCGGCCTAGCGCCTCCCCACTTCCAAAGATATTTGGGTCTCTGGTCCCCCGGTTGCAGAGCCAGAGGTGCACTGGAGACCATACTCGGAAGCTGACGGGGCCTACGGTCTCATCTTTAAGACGCTTTGCCTCATTGCTGGCCTCGTTAAGAGTTACCCCAAAGGCTAAGGGTTATGGACAGAGCACCCCGCTCCCAGGCGCCAGGGCTGGGGCGAATCACTGTGCTCTGAGTGTGGCAATGCTGTTCCCCAGGTCGCCATCCACACACTGTGGAACATCCGCATCGTAGTGCTGGCCAAGCCGGAGCACGAGAACCGGATCAGCCACATCTGCACCAGCAATGTGAAGACCGGCATCGCCAACACCCTGGGTGAGCGGGCAGGGGCGCCCGCCCCCCATGGTGTGCCCTGTGGTGTCCTTGCCACCTGGGATCGACCCCCAAGAGTCTGGGGCTGGCACATGGGCCTCGGGCCTCGCTTGAGCAGCCAGAGCCTGGAATGGGGTGGGCAGACATCTGCCGGGAAGGGGCAGGGCAGCTCTGTGGCCCACAGGCCACGCCTCACCTCTGCCTTTTTGGCCAAGATCTGCCACGGTCGACACTAAAACTGAGCAGGGAGACTGGTCATTTGAGTGACTGTGTGGCCCTGTCTGGGTGTGTGTGAGCGTGGGGTGTGGACGAGCCAGCCTGTGGATGAGCGTGAGTGCATACCTGTGAGGGGGCTGCACACATCGAATGTGTGTGTTTATGTGATCTGTGCATGTATGTGAGTCTGTGTCACCCTGGGAATATGAGTGTGTGTTTATGGGTGTGTGTCAGTCTGTTATGTGTGTGTGTCTCTGAGTGTGGGGGTGCTGTGTGTGTGGACACAGGGCCGCTGGTGGAGTCAAGGGGCGAAGCCAGTGGTTTCTGGTGGTTGGAGCCGGGCCAGGACAGCCCTGGAGATAACAGGAAGCAGGAGGATTGCTGCAATCGCACATGCAAAGGCCCGGGCTTCCCTGCCTACAAACCTCCAACTTCCCGTGTCCACGTGCATGAGTCCCTCTGTCCTTCCTGCTCGGAAGCATGGGCTTCAGGAACCTCCCTCATCTGGATTCCATTGCTCCCTGGCCCCTGCCCACAGGGCAGAAGTCACTCAAACAGAACTGCACCTCCGCCGCCGGGCCTCCCCTCAGCCAGTGCCCCAACTCTGGGCCAGCACCTCAGGGCCGAGGCGGGCTGGGGCTGGACGCGGGAAGTTACCAGTGCACGGAGCCTAGCTCTCCACAGCTCTGTGGGCTCTGACATGGTCCGCAAGCAGACAGGTGGCAAGAAGGTGGTTTCCAGGGTGACCACACTGGAGCCACAAGGGGAAGGCAAGGGGTGGCTCTGCCGGCCCCAGGGGTCTGAGGTCCGAGGTGAGGAGCGCAGCAGCCTGGCACTCAGGGACCACACGTGGCTTGTGGTTCTCAGCCTCCGGCCTGGCTCAGTCACAGAGCAGGGGTCAGCAAACTGAGAGGCAGGTGGGTGCACCCCTTGAGCTCTGCCCTGAAAGCAGCTTCACAGGGGCAATACTTAGAGCGCAGGGCGGATCTGTCTTCTCATAAAACACTGTTTGTGAACACTGAAATCCTTTGTACTTTTTTTTTTTTAATCCTTTGTATTTTAATGTGTCCTGGGCCAGGGATTTAGCTCAGTGGTCCCGCCACCTGCCTCGCAAGCACAAGGACCCGAGTTCGATCCCCAGTACCAAAAAAAAAACCCCATAGCCTTGTTTAATGTGTCCTGAAAGATTATTTTTCTTTTGATTTTATTTCCCCAACCACTTAAAGATGTAAGAACCATTTTGAGCCAGTAGTGGGCCAGTTCCTGTACCTTCCTGAAGCCCGGAACCTCTGGTCCAGCGGGTCTGGTGTTTCTCCTCGCAACAAGTTGCCAGGTGGCCCAGGGAACACACTCTGAGAAGCACTAGTCTAGAATAGATCAGAACGAGGGGAGGCCAGGGATTTACCTCAGTGGCGCCGCACCTGCCTCGTAAGCTCAAGGTCCTGAGTTCAGTCCCCAGTACTGGGAAGAAAAATGAGGAGAAAACAAAGTGTGCTCTGGGTGAGGGTCTTTGGTTAGTTGGGAGAAGCCCAGGGTGGCTGGCTGTCCACCTGTCACCCCAAGGGACCCTGGTTACTCTCTTTCGTCTGCTCCCCGCCTCCCTCTTTTTTTTAATATCCTTCCCTTCTCTGCCTTTCCCACCACTTGCCACCTGTGCCTGTTTGATATTCTGATTCTTCTCTCTCTTCCCTCTCTTAGGGAACAAGGGAGCGGTAGGAGTGTCATTCATGTTCAACGGAACCTCTCTGGGGTTTGTTAACAGCCACTTGACTTCCGGAAGTGAAAAAAAGCTCAGGTAATGGGCACCTTCCCTGTATTCGGGTCCCCCCACTCCAAATGCCCCAATCCCCTGCTCAGCCTGGGACCCCGTGGGTGACACAACCCTTAGGGGCTCTTCCTGGCTCTGCAGAGACAGCTGCAGCTCTATGGGGGCCTCAAGTGCGGGTGACTTGTCTGAAGGACGGGGAAGGTGTCTGGGCCGTAGGCTGTCGGACACTGAACACCACCCGCTTTCTACAGGGCCGCCTCAGCCAGGCCCCCTTACGGGTAAAGCCCATCCAGCCCAAGTGGCCCACGCAGGAAGATGCCATGTAGATTAGTCACTCTTCCGATGGCCCACCAGGCGGGTCCCACTGCTTGGCCTTGACCTTTTGAGCTCCCAGCCTGGCCAGAAGCCCCTTTGCATCCTTCCCTGCCCACCTGTATGGCCGGGTGGTCCACTGCAGCAGGCTGGTGGTCTGATCCCCAGGGCCCCCAACATCCCCTCCCTTTTTTTTTTTTTTGGTTCCAGGGATCGAACTTGGGTCCTTGCGCTTGTGCAGCCCTCCCTTTTTTTGAAACAAGGCCTCACTGTGCAGTTCAGGCTGACCTTGAACTCACTATATAGCTCCGGCTGGCCATGAACTCACGGCATTCCTCCTGCCTCAGCCTCCTGAGTGCTGGGATTACAGGCATGCACCACTACACCCAGCTCCCCAAACCCCTTTTGTCTTCCTGCCCTGTGGGGTGGGAATCAGTGACCCCATGCAAGATGGCACTTTTCCCTTGCATTAGGAGAAACCAAAACTATATGAACATCCTCCGGTTCCTGGCTCTGGGAGACAAGAAACTGAGTCCCTTTAACATCACTCACCGCTTCACCCACCTCTTCTGGCTTGGGGATCTCAACTACCGAGTGGACCTGCCCACCTGGGTAAGGAGCCTCTGCCTGGGGCTGGGGGAAGGGATCCCAGGGACAGTTTAAGGCAGATGATCATGGAGACGCATGAGCTTCCTATCATGGAGCCACAGCCTTTCCTTGTGGTCCCTTCTGGTCCCGCGACTGCCATACTGCTCCTCCTCATGGCCACTACCTCAGGTCATCCAGCTGGTCAGCGACAGTCCTTCACCTTGCAGGCTGGCTCCCTCTGTGTCCAGATCAGGGAGCCAGTGCCTGGGGACTCACAGGCTGGCAAGGCTGTCTCCATTCCACAGAAAGAGCGAGGGAAATCAAGCAGGCAGACCTGCCTGTCTCATGAAGGATTAATAAAACTGACCGTGGGGAGCACGGTGGTATCTGCCTGTAATCCCACCACTCTAGGAGGCTGAGACAGGAGGATCAAAAGTTCAATCCCAGCCTGGGCAACTTAGTGACCTAGCGAGATTCTGTCTCAAAAGGCTGGGGATATAGCTCAGTGTGGTAGCCCTGGGTTTAATCCTCAGTATTAATAAATAAATAAAAGTAAAAGATATTAAGTCAGTGTGCCAGGAATAAAAAGTCCATATGCGAATGTAGCCCAGCCAGGGACTTGAGTTATTGGGACGCCACTGCTCTCTGGTTTCCCTGATTAAACCCTGGGCACCAGGAAGCAGCATCCCGGGTCCCCAGGGTCAGGGCGAAGGGTGTCTCACCGGGATGCGTCCTTGCCCCAGGAGGCGGAAGCCATCATCCATAAGATCAGGCAGCAGCAGTATGCCGACCTGCTGGCCCACGACCAGCTGCTCACGGAGAGGAGGGAGCAGAAGGTTTTCCTGCACTTCGGTGAGGAGTCTCCTGGGGCCCCTGCCCGTCCCCCAGATGTCCCTGCTGGGGGAGGCCAGTGTCTGCAGTGTGGGGAAATTTGGGGCTCACAAGTGAGACTCTCATCTGTGTTTCAGAGGAGGAAGAAATCACGTTTGCACCCACCTATCGATTTGAAAGGCTGACTCGGGACAAATACGCCTACACGAAGCAGAAAGCAACAGGGGTGAGTCTTTCCCAGGATCCTCCTGGCTTTCTTGACCACCAGACAGCAGAAAAGGGAAAGAAAAAAGAAATCACTCGTTAATTTGTGTCAGAACAAGAACTGGACAACCAACTTGGATGCTGAAAAGAGCTGAACCAGCCAGGCCTGGTTGTATGCGCCTGTAGTCCCAGCACTCAGGAAGCTGAGGCAGGAGGACCACCATGAGTTGGAGTCTAGGCTGGGCCATATAGTGAGTTCAAGACCAGCCTGAGCTACATAGGGAGACCTTGTCTCTAAAAACTAAAATTAATAATAATAATGGAGCTGAACTAATGACCCTTATACTAAGGTTCTGAGAGAATATTCAATCATCATTTTTATAACTAGGTTCTGAAGCCTATTTTTGACAAATATACAACAAACAATAAATCCAGGGTCCTGTTATCAGATACATTTTACTAAATTGCCAAATTAATCAACACTAAATAGATTTCTTCCCTGCAGAACTCAGGAAAGCCTTTATGGGCTTCGGAGCATTATGGTTTTCAATATCTTAGGTCGCTTGTGTTCCAAGAAACAGAGTTTTGTAGAAGATGCAGTAAAACATTTATTTGTTCGTTTGTTGGGAGATCTCTCCCAATGGCCTGTGGTGGGGCAAGTCCTCACCGAGGTGACGAAAGCAGAGCTGAAGGAGCTGCCCGCCCCAAGGAGTTTATGATAGGAAGACAAGACAGGAGCCCACCTGACTGTAAGCTGAGAGCAGAAGTGACAATGACAAAGGCCACACAGCAGTCAAAGGAGGAAGTGACTGTGGTGGCCAGGAAGGATTGGGAGGCTGCTCAGAGATGCCTTGAAGGGCAGCCTGGGTTTCTTCGGGCAGCCGTGGTGGTGGAGGGGCTGGTACATTAGAGGGAGGGGGCAGATGCCACCTTCAAGGGCCCAACCCAGGGAGGCCAGCCCAAGGCAGGGTCCTGAGGGGCAGAGGTGTGGGATGGTGGAAGACCCAGGGCCACTTGAGCCCAGGGGCAATGGAGAAAATGAAAGAAAAGGAGAAAAGAGGATGTGTGGAGAGATCCAGCTGCCATTAATAAAAACTGGAAGACAGAGCTGGGTCACAGGGGAAAGATAGAGCTTGTTTCCAGACATATTGATTGGGTAATATCAATAGAGAAGCTCAGAGATAGCCAGAAGGTAGTTGAAAATATGAGATTGGTATTAAAAGAGAAAAGTGGGTGGATTCATGGATTTGGGAGTTCCCTGCTTGGAGGAGACAGTCACATCCAGGTGAGATTGCAGGAATGAAAGAAGGGCAAGAAGTGCAGGTGCGGACAGGTTTGGGTGCCCTGCGCTCTGATGCTAGAGAAAGGACCAGCACTAACAATGGAGGCATAAGAAGAGTTAGAAGGAGGACCAGCATCCTCTGGGCACTCAGTGTCATGGGAGTGGGGCCCAAGACTAGGAAGGATTAGCAGCAGGACGGGGAAAGGGAGCCAAGGAGGAGGGCCAGGCACAAGGAGCGTGAGCAAAAGGCTCAGGGCTTTGGGTGGAGTCTTACAGATGCACTCAGATCTCAAGAAGGTAAGGGCTATTCTTTCCCCAAGGTGAGCAAGTGGGTCCCTGGAGCAGCTTTGCAGGAATTCAGGTTCCTGGGCCTCATCCAGATGCTCTGCTGCAGCGGGGCCAGTTTGGTATGGTTCTAGAGGTCACAGGAGAGCTTCAAGGTTAGGAAGTGAGGGTTTGGCAGCATCTGTGGAAGTGACACATGCACTGCACTATGAGTGAGAAATTGGTACATTGTCCACCAACAGTGAGGCAGAACAGCTCCGTTCCTGATCTCTAGAAACAACCAACCCTGTGTCTACTAACAGCAGAAATGTGGTGTATACATGCAGTGGAATCCCCTTCAGCATTCAGCAAAGGAACTTTTATAGGCAACAACATGGGTGAAAAAGCCGAGCACGGTGGGCAGGCCTCTAATCCCAGCACTCAGAAGGCTGAGGCAGGAGGATCACCATGAGTTCAAGGCCAGCCTGGGTTACATAGTGAGTTCAAGGGTATCCTGAACTACATAGCAAGACCCTGTCTCAAACAAATAAACAGCAGGTCATCTGGAACGTCTGGAAGTGTGGGCACAGCAGTGAGATCAGGACTTTAAGTGAAGTGTAAAGTGACCTATGAGTAAATTCTCTTAAGAGTCATTAGCAGATGATTGCACGGATTGCTGGGGTCACCAATTAGCCTTACTTTCCTTCTCTCTCTCTCTCTGTTTTGATTTTTTCTCTTTTTTCTTACCAAACAAAAAGAAAACAGTAGCAGGTCGTTCACCATGCTGTGACTTTGCTTTGCAGATGAAGTACAACCTGCCCTCCTGGTGCGACCGGGTCCTCTGGAAGTCTTATCCCCTGGTGCACGTGGTGTGTCAGTCCTATGGTGAGTCCAACTCTGCCTTGCAAGAACAGCACCAAGGGGGGCCTCAGTCTGCTTATCTGGAAAATGGGCGTGCTCCCCAGCCCTAGTCAGGTGACCCGAAAGAGCCTGTGTATCGCCTCCACACCAGAGCCATCCAGGCCTGTGACCTCCTTCCCAATTGCAGCCGGGTTCAGTTGCATCCACACCCGCCTCCCGCATCCTGCCAGTTCTCTTCCTGGGAAGAGGCAGCCACCTGCCCTCGCCACCTCCCCTTCAGGGCGCCGGGAGACCATGGTGGCTCTTAGGATACCACTTCCCATCTGGGAGCCTCACCTGGGCTCCCAGAACTGCTGCACAGGGGAGCGGAACACAGAGGTCTCCCCGCGCAAAGGGCAGAGAGGAAGCCAGCCCACACCTGAGGGGCTGCTGTGTCCTCCGCCAGGCTGGGCAGGAAGGGAAGGATGAAGAGGCGGGGAATTTTGCTAACAACATTGCGGGCACAGTAGAAGGTTTTGTGAGTTGGGTTGGAGGGGGAGGAAGAAGTTGGGAAAGAAAAGGGAAAGGAGGTCCAGAGTTCGGGAAATCGGGGTGAGCCAGCAGCTGTTAACACTACCAGATGTGTCAGCTGTCTATGCGACACGCTACCCCGGAACCCAGTGTCTCGAAGCACCCGCCCGGTGCTCGCTCACAGCCCTCTGGACACCCCCAGGTGGCCGTCCTTGGGCCGCAGTTGCTGGCTCTCGGCGGGGGCCCTGGCGGTGATCCCTGACTCAACAGCCCACGCCTGCCTTTCCAGGTCTCAGGGTTCCCGGCTCTGGTGTCAGCTGCCCTGTCTTAGCTTGTCATCCACAGCTCAGCCTCAAGACCTCCTCCTCCTCCCCTCTCCTGCAGGCAGCACCAGCGACATCATGACGAGTGACCACAGCCCTGTGTTCGCCACGTTTGAGGCCGGGGTCACCTCCCAGTTCGTCTCCAAGAACGGTAAGCGGTGGCCGCAACTGGGTCTCTGTTTTCTCAGCTTCTGCTGCAGCCATTTGTGGTCTGCATGGAGTGAGGCTGATTCTCCCGCCAAGCCCAGAGCCCGCTGACCGATGCTGGGCGTGCAGGCGGAGGCACCATCATTCCGGAGAATCTACCCACTGTGTCCGGCAAATACACTGACCTATTGCAAACTCAGTCTGCTGCAGTCAGAAAGATTTCATGATTGGTGTCTACCAAAGTGCGGCCTGGCTACACTGAAGCCGGTTCTGGGGTTGGGACAGGGATGACCGTTGATCCGTGGTATGTTTGTTCTAACAGGTTTTAAGCTGATCCCTTCTGGGTGGGCAAGCACTTTAGCTTTCCACTTAATAGTGTGGTATACTTTATTGAATTACACTTACGCTGCCGGGGATTTAGCCTAGTGGTTTGGCTGCCTGCTGTGCAAGTGCAAAGACCCAAGTTCAATCACCAGTACCCAAAAAAAAGAATTACACTTATGCTTTCAAAGTGTGTCTATTTAAAGAAAACATTAAATAGGCATTAGTGGTGCTGGAGATGTTAGACATTGTGGAAATGGGGTGTGGGCGGCTGTCTTGGAAAACACTAGATTTTTGTTTGTTTTCAGTTTAGTTTTTGTTTTTTGAGGGGGGAGGGGTTCAGGGTTTTGCCATGTAGTTCAGGCTGGCCTTGAACTCCTTACCTAGCCCAGGCTGGCTTTGACTTCTCAGTGATACTCCTGCCTCAGCCTCCCAAGTGCCAGGATCACAGGTGTGCACCACGACACCCAGTTCCGAAACACCAGATTTGCAGGCAGTTTTTCAAGTTGCCCAGCCCAGCCCTGGTCCCCAGGCAGCAGGGGCCGGGCAGTCCCTCTCATGTGTCCATCTGGTCACCCGCCTGGGTAGCCAGGGCTGTGGCGTCACCCCCTCTGCCCGCTCCTTACATCTGTGTGGCCCATTTAGGAAGCTGCATGTGGGGAACCCAAATCCAGGCAGGAAGAGGCCACTCCCATCCGCTGTGACCTGATGGACGCAGATGAGGCTGGGACCCTGTCTTTCTGGGGTGCCCCTCCCCAGATTGTTGGGTCTGGTGTCTGCAGCACCGGCAACATGGCCTCCCTTCTGCACCCCAGCTTGACATTGCTCTGCCAGTTATGTCTCCTTTCTAGCTTTGGCCTCTGCCTCTCCAGAACCTCCCTAGCATTTCCTCCTCATCCCTACTCCCCTTCTCTTTCTCTGAGTTGGGACAGCTCCATGGGGTGGCCCATGTCACCTCCGCGTCACTGGCGATGGTGTTGTCTGTTTCGGGCTCAAGGATACTGATCCCTGGGATGGAGTTTGGATTGAGTATCTACCTGAGGGACCCTGGCCCGGGTGCCTGGGGTTCTGTAGGAGAAAGTGAAGAAGGACAGATAGGTGGGAGGGACGAAAGGGAAGATTTGTTCTTGCTCCCAAGTGGCTCAGAATTTATAGGAAAATGAAGAATATTTAAAGCCAGCTTATATCCCAGCACTCGGGAGGCTGAGGCAGGAGGATTGCCATGAGTTCCAGGCCAGCCTTGGCTACATAGTGAGTTCAAAGCCACCCTGAACTATATAACAAGACCCTGCCTCAAAAAACCCAAAAAAACAAAGCAACAAAAAAGCTGCTGAGGGGATCTAGCTCAATGGTGCCACCACCTGCCTCACAAACACAAGGTCCTGAGTTCGCTCCCCGGTACCACAAAAAGGAGCTGAACAGACTGGAATGGTGGTGAGCATCTGGGCCATTTTACCAGCTCCCTGCCAGACCTAGTGGCAGACTGCAGAGTGAGGTTAGGGGCCGATGGGGCCCCAGAGCTTTGGGGCAGTGCTGAGAGTAGCACTTGGCGCCTCGAGCTCTGTTGTGTGTGCTGTGCCCCTGTGCGGCCAGCTCAGGATGGATCGGAGGCTGCTGCCAGCATTACAATGCCCAGCATGGGTGGGCATTGGCGCTCATGGTAGCTTTACTCCAAGGCAAACTTCTTCCTCCTGGACTCTGCCCTTCCTGGGACCCCGAGAGGGAGCTTGGCATGGCGAGTCCACACTCGGGAAGGAAGCCTTGGAGAGGCGCTGAAAATGTCGCGGCCTGCCACACCGCCTGAGCCTCTCCTCACTTGCTGCAGGCCCCGGGACTGTGGACAGCCAGGGCCAGATTGAGTTCCTTGCATGCTACGCCACTCTGAAGACCAAGTCGCAGACCAAGTTCTACCTGGAGTTCCACTCCAGCTGCCTGGAGAGTGAGTGACCTTGGGCTGCCTTTGGGCGGGCGGGCAGGACCCTATCCTGGGTCCTTTTCAACATCTGAGTCTGTCCTCCTTTCTCCTCTCTGGAAAGGACTGAAAGAAGTGGGGCGCCAGGGGGACAGCTCTGTGCCAGCCGTGGGGACAGGAGCAGCAACCCACGTACTGACCCCGAGTCCCTGTGGTCACCTGGCTCCTCACCCTGACCCCAAGACACACTGTAATGCCCTCAAGTCCCCCAAGCTGGGCTGTAACTCAGCCAGCGTCCTGAGCAAAGCTGCTGAGCCCATGAAGGGCACTGAGAGCCCAAAACAGCTGCTGGCACCTACCCGCCTTCGCCTGGGCCTCCTCATTCTTATGGGCACCTGCCTATGGTGGCTGCAGCATCCCACGGCAAGCTGCGGTGGAGCGCTCCCCTTACACAGACTGCCTTCAGGAAACACCATTTCCGGGTGGCATCTCTGGGCATATCATCCGCGGCTCTTCCTTGCTTCTAGTTCTCGCTGGACTGTCTGCAGAGTGGAGGGGGGAGGGGAGGAATCAACTCCACAAAGAGAAGCATGAAAGTGATGCTTCCAGAAATCAGAAGTTGTCACCAGCCACGATCCTGTCCCCTGTGCCTGTCCCTTCAGCTCAGCCCTGGCGACAGAGTGGCCTTTGCCACTAAGTCCCCAAACCCCCTATAGCCAGCAAGCTGGGTCAGAGCAGTTCCAAAACGGATGAGGATTTTTGTGCGGGTGTTTTTAATAAACTTTCGAGACATTTGCATACATTTCTATGGAAACGGCATATTAGGAAGCTTAAATTAGAATTTCAAAAGGCTGCTCTCCTGAGTGGCGTGGGACGAGCTGTCATGTTTCCCAGTCTTCTTGCCTGTGATGTGATGATGTCTTTGTTGCCTGGTTTATTGCAAAGGGGAGATGAAGAGGACGGAAATCTCTTTGATTTTCCTAAAAATAATTTGAGCACGTTGCCAAATGACCATCCCCTGCACAAAAACAGAATCCCCAGAAAGTCTAACTCTTCAATGGTGCTGAGGCCCCCAAGATTTAAGAGGAAGGAGGCTGGGTGTGGTGGCTCATGCCTGTAATCCCAGCCCTCGGGAGGCTGAGGCAGGAGGATCGCTTGAGTTTGAGGCCAGCCTGGGCCACCTAGTGAGTTCAAGGCCAGCCTGAACTACACGGCTAGGAGGGACACCTTTTTCCCTGCTGGGGGCAGTGGCCCTGGGAGGCGGCTGTGTCGGACCCTTGCTTCGCCTTCTGCAAACCTGCTTTCCTATCCCCCCACAGGTTTTGTCAAGAGTCAGGAAGGAGAAAATGAAGAGGGTAGCGAGGGGGAGCTGGTGGTGAAGTTTGGCGAGACCCTTCCCAAGGTAATTCTGAGAGGGGATGCTCCGCAGGAGGAAAATGGGGTCACCAGGCCAGCAACACTGGCCAGGAGCAGAGCCAAGACCCTGCCTGAGCAGAGGGAGCCCACAGACTAAATGCAGCAGGGATGTGAGTTACCCCAGTATTCCCAAATAGCTCTCAGTTCCTCAGTCCACCTAGCAGTCCACACAAAATCACATGATTTTGCAAAGAAGAGAAAGATAGGTGTGGTGGCAAATGACTGTAATCCCACCCAGCACAGAGGAGGCTGAGGCAGGAGGATCACTGTGAGTTCAAGGATACCCTGCACTACATAGTGAGTTCAAGGCCAGTCTGAAATGCGTAGCGAGACCCTGTCTCAAGAGAATCCAAAACTAAATAAGAAAGGAGCCCTAACATGCAGAACAAGAGGCTCATTTAGGGCCACACATCCGCAGCGGCAGAGCCAGGAGTCAGCCCCAAGTACACTCGGCTCCCCTTGGTTTTCTTTCTTTTTATGTACTAAGAACCTACCTGGTAAAATTTAGTATCCTGGTAACAGAATTCTATTTTCTTTTTATTAGTACACACGTGCAGTTCGTAATGATCACATCCGTCTGAGGAGCTGGCACAGCACATCACACATCCCATGCCTTTTTACTTCCCCTTGCTGCCCCCTCCCCGGCACCCCGGGCTTGCTTGCCTATTTGGGGCTGGCCCACAGGCTCACATTCGGATGTGCAAGGAGCCTCGGCTCCCGGCTGAGCCCTGTGAACTCAGGCTACTTGACAGGTCTGTGGGACGCAGGGTGAGCTTGCAACTTTGCGGCCCTTCCTTCGTAGGAACGCACCTGTCTTTATGTAGAGAAATGGTTTCTGGCCCAAACTGCATTTGTGATCCTGAGGGACAGGGGAGGCTCTCGTCGTCCTTGACTGTGAGCTCTGGGTGCACAGCCGAGCGGGGCACGGTTTCTTTCTCAGATCACTAGGGAGGGAAGGGCACAAAGAAGGGGCATCCGGGCCAAGGGGTTGCCCCAGAAGCTCCCCTCAGGTGACAGCTGCGTGCGTTTGGAGGCCAGCTGTACAGGGCGGAGGGAGCTGCTTGTGTGAGCTCTGGGGGCTGAGCTTGCCCTGCGGCCTTAACCACTGATTGGAGCATCTCTGTGGTCCCGGGGTAGAGGATGCACCCAAGCTGGGGTTGCTCCTGATTTGGGTGCCCCCGCAAGTTCATCAGGCTCTCACTGGTCCTCTACTGAGCCCCGAACAGCTCTCAGAGGCCCGTACTGGGGCTGTCAGGCCTGGAGTCCTTGGAGTTCTTGGCCCCAGGGCCACACACACACCCCCCCAGCTAGACCCATCCTCCTGCTCCCTCCTGGCTGCGCCCCAGGGAGCCAAATTGTTTCCTCCTTTGGTGACACTTTGGGAAAGACACCGGGATCCCAGTCCCCATGGCACATCCACTCCCACTCCAGCACAGGACCTCTAGAGGGCACCCCTGTCTCCCTCCTCCCTACTTCCTCCTTGGCTAGGGAAGATGGGGTCTCATAACTGTGTGTGCACCCCCTGCCCTGGGCTGGCTCTAATTCAGCCATGTCACTGCCTGCCAGTGAGCCCTGTGGTTGGTGGGGCCCTCAAACCCCAGCATGCCTCAGAGACCCACTGCGATGTCCAGTCTTTGTTCTGGAACTTTCTGAAGAGAGAAATAGCGAGTCCGTCCTGATGTTCAGTATGGCGCTCAGAGCCTACTCCTGGGGTCTTTGGTGTCTGGAAGGGAAGGGAAGGCAAGGGACAGCCTGGAGCAGCTAACCCTAACCCTTTTGTGGTGCTGTCATTGTGGGGAATAGCCTGAAGTGGAGAAAAATACATAAATTCCAGCTGAATGTAGGTGCTAATATGATGCTAGAGCCTGTCCCTGAGCTAGCCACAGGCCCTACACTGAGGAGGCTTGAGGTTTACCCAGCAGGGTGCAAATCCTGAGCTGAGCCAGACCAGCAAGCACCCTGGAGGCCAGCAATGCCTGGCTCTAAGTGATTTCCTGCATCTGGAAGTTGAGGACAGGGCTGCAGTGCAGGAGGCTGTCAGTCGTTGAACCATGCACTGCAGACCCAGCTGGAGGAGCACACAGGCCTCCTTCTCCCCTGACGCCTGTGAGAGGACCTGAAGGGAAGGAAGGTGGCTTTATGGGGGTGCCTGGCGCAGTGGGGTGGAAAGCCCATTCCATACCTGGCTCTGACCCCTCCCCCAGGTTCCAGGACCCTACAGAGGAGGGAAGAAAGGAAAAGATGCAGCGGGCAAGGGGCCATTTGGAGTCAGCCCTTTCCCTAGGTCCTGGGAGCTCGGGCCAGCATAGGAGGCCTGGGCTGCAGGTGGCAAGGGGTGAGGGACAAGAAGAAAGGTAGGCCCTGCCTGGTGGGCTGGGTGCAGGTATGGGTTCCTACCTGCACTCTTAGTCATAGGAAGCTGAAACTTGAACCTGGACAACATATTCAGCCCTGTTTTCCTACGTGTGCTCCACATCCACCTGGTCCTTGCCTGCCCCCACCTGTTGGCACTAATCCTGTGCCTTCTCCCTGCAGTTGAAGCCCATCATCTCTGACCCCGAGTACCTGCTGGACCAGCACATCCTGATCAGCATTAAGTCCTCTGACAGTGACGAATCCTACGGTAAGTTAAGCATCCCCATCCTATCCCTTCTCCTGTCCCGTGGGCTTCTGGGCATAATGGCCCAGAGCCAAGGTCCCTCCCACATGTGGAGCCTTCCTGGGTCCAGTCTGTGCGCCTTGTAGGTATTATATGATTTTATCCTGACATGAGTTACAGTATTAGTTAGCTTTTCCATCCCTGAAATACAACACAATGTAAAGGAGGAGAGGTTTATATTGGCTCATGATTTCTGTGGGTTCAGTCTGTGGTCAGCTGGCTCCAAGGTAGAAACAGCATGCCGGAAGGGCGTGGCAGAGGAAAGCTGCTCACCTTATGGCAGCCAAGAAGCAGAGAGAAGGGAGGAGTTGGGGACAAGAACACACCTTCCAGGTCACACCCCCAATGGCCACCTCCAAGCAGGGCTCACCTCCTAACACATTTAGCAATGATAAAGGTTGAAGCAAGAGGATCACTACAAGGTTGAAGCCAGCCTGGGCTCCATAGTGAGTTCAAGACTAGCCTGAACTACATAGTGAGACCCTGCCTCAAAAACAAAACAAAACTCATGGATGAATCCACAGATGAGTATAGTGCCCCCATGATCCTATCACTTTACACACACACACACACACACACACCACACACACACACACACACACACGACTTTGAGGGACATTTTAGCTCTAAGCCATAACACCTACCATTCCCCAGTGCATGGACAAATGAAAGCATAGAAGGATCACATGACTAACCCGGGCCTCACAGGTAATAATTGGCTGAGCCCTAATTCGAGCCCAGTTCTGCTTGTACTGCCGAGTCCAAGTCTCAGCCCGCCATGCAGAGCTGCAGCACCCCCTGTTGGCCAAGTTGGCTTCCTTTAGCTTTAAGGGGTTTTTTTCTTTGCACAAGTTTTAAACTTGTCTCTTCTTCCCTGCCCATCTCGATTTGTCATTTGTTGCGATGTCTCAAACCTTGGGAAGTTGGCGTCACCTACAGCAGCCAGATTAGCATTCAATTCTGTCTTTCTGCTGGATTTTCTAGGATTTAATTTTTCTGTTCACAGTGACTAATCCATGGGGAATTCATGTTGCTGTGAGGTTTGAGGTATTTGTCCCAAAGTGCTGAGGCACTGTTCTAAAGGGGCTATGAACTGATCCTTGCCTGGCCATTGTTCTTTTGTTTGGATGGTCAAACAAGCAACTTGTTTGTCTGCTTGTTTGTTTGTTTTTGAGACAGGATCTTGCTTGTTTTGAGACAGGATCTTGTTTGTTTTTGAGACAGGATCTTGCTATGTAGTTCAGGCTGACCTTGAACTCAGTATGGAGCCCAGGCTGGCCTCAAACTCAGGGTAATTCTCCTGCCTCAGCTTCCCCAGTGCTGGGATCTGCCACCATGCCCAGCTGGGCCATGTTTTAAGGCACTGTCTTCAGGTGGTGGGGTCTAGTCTGTAAACTAATACTCCTTGTTCCTCCCACGGTTGGCTGGATCTTGACGCTGCTATTGGCTTCTCTTCCCCCCAGGTGAGGGCTGCATTGCCCTTCGGCTGGAGGCCACAGAAACCCAGCTGCCTGTCTATACGCCACTCACCCACATTGGAGAGATGACGGGCCACTTCCAAGGTGCCATTAAGCTGCAGACCTCCCAGGGCAAGAAGAGGGAGAAGCTGTATGGTAAGCCAGCCTTCTGTTCCTCTCCATCCTGCGGGTCCATTAGGTGTCAGGGCAGAACCCAAGCAAAAAGGAGCTCAGGTGATCTGACCCATCCTTTCCTGATTGAAGACTTTCTCTAAGCCAGGTGTAGTGGCACTCACTCACCTGTAACCCCAGCTCTCTGGGAGGCTGAGGCAGGAGGACCACAAGTTCAGGCCCAGCCTGGATAACTTAGCAAGACTCTGTCTCCTAAAAAAGCCGGGATGAATGGTGTGGCTGCAGATTGGACATCCCCAGTAACATTAAAAAGACTGGCTCCCAATACACTGTCACCAACCATTTGTACCTAGAAGCCCCTAGCCTTGTGCTTAGCACATTTCTTTGGTTTTTCCCTTTTTTGGCTCCAGCTGCCTTCAAAAGAGCAGCATCCTCTAGTCTTAACTTGACCCCAAATCTCTCTGTCCTCTTAAATGTTACTTCCTTACTTTGGCTGGCTGCAGGGAAGTTTCATTTATTATGTCTCCCCAAAAGTGACACGGGGGCTGGAGATGTAGCTCAGGGGCGGAGCGCTTGCCTCACGTGCGTCAGGCCCCGGGTTCCATCCTCACCAATACACAAGCACACACCTGCACACCAATGCAGTCATGTTTGGTAACAAATAGTCTTGGTGGCTGTTTCTTCACCCTCCGTGAAACACCAGCCTGGGGAATCATCCCCCATCTATGTCCAGAGGAGACCCTGCTGATCAAGTCTTAGATAAAAATGGTCCTACTCTGTGGGGAAGACCTTACTAACATGATGAGAACCTGGTGTGCTGAGATTAGAATTTATCATTTTCTCCTGCCCCCAAATTTTGAAACTTTCCAATTTGAATCTATACATTCCATTAAATCTTCTCTGTATGGAATAATAAAAGGGTTGAGAGATACAGGGCTGCCCAAAATTTGTTTACCAAATAGTTCTTCCTTTTCACACTGGAGGCAGTTGATTTCCTTTTTCTTTCCTTTTCTCCTTCACTTTAATCCATACTAAGCACTGAAATAACAATGCCTAAAATGAAGTGGGCTTTAACTACAGACTTGATAACATACAAAGTGATCGTCTCACGCATATCATCTTACTCATCTCTCATAGCATCCTTGTGTTATTGTCCTTGTTTGACAAAAAGGGAAACTGAGGCACACAAAGGCTAAGTGATCGGCTTATGGTCACATGCCTAGTCAGTGGCCAGGCCAAGGTGAGAGTGTGGGTTCATGCAGTGCCACCCAGGGAGCCGTCTCCATGGATCTGGCTCCTCCTTGCCCTGTGAGAGCTCATTTCTCCAGCAGGATAGTGGGTTGGAGTGATGGGACTTGACACTCTGGCAGCCATAAGCCAGAGTCAGAAATGAAGACGAGTCCTCATTCCCCTAAAACCCATGCACAGGTTGACAATGAGTACCAAATGCTCGTTTGGACCCACTATTTACCTTTGTTTTGTTCTAATCTGATAAGCAGTATTTACCTGTTTTGTCCCTTGCTAAAACCAACAAGTTGGGACTGTCACATGAAATGACAACTCTGTGTCACACATGTGAATTCTCCTCCTTCTGGAGCCATGGCAGGCATAACTAATCAATCACCAAATTCCTGAAGCCATGGCAGCCACAACTAATCAATTACTGAACAGAGGCCTCGGGCTCTTGCTTAAAACACTTCCCCAAGTAGCCACAATTTACCATCCACTTTGCTATTCCTGACCAAACTCTGGGAGCCAGGCCCTCACATTTTCTTTCCTGGCCCGTGCTTTTCAGACTTCGTGAAGACAGAGCGGGATGAGCCCAGTGGGCCGAAGTGTCTGAAGAGCCTCACCAGCCACGACTCCATGAAGCAGTGGGAGCCTGCTGCCAGGTAAGGCAGGACTGGAGACTTACACACTAGCTCAGCTGTGAGGAGCAGGAGAAGCCAGGGTCAAAGGAAGGAGGCTCCTGCCCGGCCCAGGGCAGCTCTCTCCTGCCCTCAGCTCAGGTCTTCAGGCCACCAAGCGATGCCTGTGTGACCATGAGGAAGCCTGGGAGACTCCTCCTTGTTGGGAGGCCTGGCTCAGCTCAGCCAGTGTTAGTTGAGCACCTCCTGTGTCGGGTGCTTGGAGAAACCGAGGCAAGTTAGGTACAGTCCCCAACTTGGGAACCTGGGCTGACGGGAGCTGCAGAGGGGTCCCTGAGACCCAGGTGCCCTGAACTCTTTGTTCCCATGAGATCATTGCTGACCACGTGCGGTGTCACTACTGGGTCACCTCACCCGGGTCTGAGCCAAACGCCGTCCATTACCAGCCTAGCCTGGGCCTCAGTCGACCAACCCATGGCACAGTGAAGAGATGGAGAGCCCAGGAGGCCCTAGGGACACCAGAGGGCACGGTCCTCAGGCAGGTGAGAGGCCGAGCCCTGACCGTGCCTCTGTCTTCCCTGCAGGGCTCCCCTGTGCAGTGCCCCGAGCATCACCGACATCGTGAATCCCAGCTACATAGGTGTGGGCCCCTTCGGGCAGCCCCTGCACCCGAAGCTGGCCCTGTCCCCGACCCTAGACCAGCCATTCCCGGCCTGGAGCTACGACCCACTGCCCAAGGACTCCTCCCTGGGCCTGGGGAGAGGGGACAGTCCTCCCACTCCTCCCTCCCAGCCACCGCTGTCGCCCAAGAAGTTGGCCTCCGCCATGGCAAACCGGGGCCCCTGCCCCCGAGCACAGGAGCCAAGGTGAGCATCCTGGCCACTCATCTGTCCGCTGGCTGGGGTCCACCCCCGAATGGCCTCAAGAGGGCGGGGCCTACTGTGGTGTTCGCCATGCCACACCCTAGCCAAGTGGCACAGTGTGGTTTTATTTTATTTTATTTCTTTGGTACCAGGAATTGAACTTGGTACCTTGTGCTTGCTAGGCAGGCAGCAGAACCACTGAGCTAAATTCCCAGGCCCTAGTGTGGTTTTAAAAGGGGGCAATAGGAAGGTTTAAAGACACCATCAAGTACTGGGTGCACAGGAAAGGAAGCCATGCTTCTCCCAGACCGCCTCATGGCCCAGGCACCCGGTGGGTCCTGGGAACCTGCATTTTCTTCAGTGAGCAGAACACTGTCCTGGGAGCTTATATCCTCGGCCAGAAAGTAAAATATGTCCCCATTCCTCATCTGCATAAGTGGCTCGGCAGGAAGTAAGCTGTAATAAATCAGGAAGCATCGAAGCGGCGCTCCATCCTCAGTTACAGCAGACAGTCCTTCCTCTCCCACAAGTCAGACATGCAGTTCTCTTCCCTTGATGTTTGTCCTGCGTCTGTCTTTGTCCCCTCTGGCTTTTGTCACAACTGCTCTACTGTTTTCTCCTTCCTGTGATGAGTTATGTGACAGAGAAATTCCCTTCCAAGGAGGAGATTTTGTTACATTGTGTCAAGCCAGTAACATAGTAGTGCAGCTTTATAATCCCAGCTACTCAGGAAGCTGAGGCAGGAGGATCACATGTATGAGCCCAGCCTGGACAACTTATGAAACTTTGTCTCAAAATTTAAAGGGGGTGGAGGACTAGGGATATAGCTCAGCAAACCATGGGCAATCTCCAGTACCACAAAACAAACAAAAATACTGTGTTAATCCAAACGCAGGCCAGCAGAGCAGAGGTTTTGTTTGTTTTGTTCTTGAGTACATGGCAGCTTCCTACAGCTCTGGAAGACAGAGCATCTTGAGACCCTCATGAAACTCAAATGGTCTCAGAAGAGGCCACAGGGTCCCGCCCACCCCATGAAAAGCTGTTCCTCTGAGCAGCCACACGGGGAGGACAGAGGGGAGGCCATGGGGCCCTGGAGGAGGCAGGACAGGGTCTGTCACAGGGACAAGAGAGCAGGTATGTGCTGAGGGTGGGGCTGGGGCTGGGGAGACAGTAAGTTCGTGCCCCCCACCACCACCACGAAGCCCATGCCAAAGTCCCTCTTGCTCCTGGGTTCAAGGTCAGGACTGAGGTTCCTGGGGAGGATATGGAGTAGCACCATCTCGTCTTACTTATTACTTTTTTATTGATGTAATGAGCATAGAACACAAAATTAACCATTTCAAAGTGAACAATTTGGTGGCGTTTGGCACATTCGCAGTGTTATTGCAACCACCACCTCTAGCTATTTCCAAAACATTTTTCAAATCCAATCATTTTATTTCTGGTTTTTGCTTTTTTGAAACAGAGTCTCGTTTTGTAGTTCAGGCTGGCCTTGAACCCACTGTGTAGCCCAGGCTGGCCTGAAACTCATGGCAATTGTCCTGCCTCAGCCTCCTGAATGCTGGAATTACAGGTGTGCGCCACCACTCCTGGCTCAAATCCAATATTATTTTTATTTTTAACTTGTTTGAGACACAGGTCTCGCTAAGTCGCCCAGGCTGACCTAGAACTTGCTATCCTGCCTCAGCCTTCTTAGTAGCTGGTATTACATGTGTCACCCTGCTGGACTGGTTCCAAAACATTTTTTTTCTGGTACTCGGGATTGAACTTGGGACCTTGCGCTTGCGAGGCAGGTGGCGGCACCACTGAGCTAAATCCCCGGCCTCCAAAACATTTTTAATCGCCCTAGACAAAAACCCAGTCATGAACCAACCGCTCTGCACCAGATCCCCAATTCTGAATGCACTTTGCCTGTTCCTCCCTCCTCTTTCCCTTGGCTCTAGGCCCAGCGAGCTGGGGAAGGGGGCAGCCGAAGCCCTGCAGGAGGACCTGCCACTGACCAAGCCGGAGATGTTTGAGAACCCGCTATATGGCTCTGTGAGCACCTTCCCCAAGCTGGTCCCCAGGAAAGAGCAGGAGTCTCCTAAGATGCTGCGGAAGGAGCCCCCGCCCTGTCCGGAGCCCACCGCGATGTTGCCCAGCGTCTTGCTCCCCAAAGCCCCAGAGGCTGAGGGCAGCAAGGGCATAGCCAAGCAGGCGTCCACGCCCTTCCTCAGCCCCGCACCACGGCTCCGCTCCTTCACCTGCTCGGCCTCCCCCGAGCCCAGGGCCGCCGGAGGGGACCGGAGCCAGGGGAAGCCCAAGGGCCCCGCTGGCTCCCAGGCCCCAGTGGCAGCCAAGAGGCCGATCAAGCCGTCCCGGTCCGAGGTGAGCCAGCAGTCAACGCCCACCCCTGCTCTCCGGCCACCCCTGCCAGTCAAGAGCCCAGCTGTCCTGCAGCTGCAGCACGCCAAAGGCCGAGACTACCGGGACAACTCCGAGTTCCCACACCACGGCAAGCACCGGCCAGAGGAGGGGCTGCTGGGCAGGACCACCATGCAGGTGAGCCCGGCCCAAGTGCATGCGTGCATGTGCAAGAGTGCATGTGCATGTGTGCACCTGCATATGCCTGTGCTCCTCCTGCGAGGAAAACCTGGAGGCAGGATTTGAACCCAGCCCTGCCTGTGCCCCTGTGTTCCTGACCCTGCATTGCCCTTACGGCAACTGTTGGATGGGACAAAGAACCAGCTGTACCTAAGTCCCAGCCCCACTTGAGGCCCAGGGAGCAAGGCTCAATAAAGTACAAGAGCCTCGTGCATTTCTAGTTCATTCTTACCCTTCGAGTTAGTGCATGCGTTTGAAACATCCCGGTGCTTAAGAGACTTCGCGTGTGATATCCCCTTCCTTCCTGTAAAGAGATTTCTTTTGGAGCAAAACTACTCATGGTTCAGAACAGACTCGGGGGTGGGGGCACATCCTTAGAGTGTGCAAGTCTCTTCGGTTCAATCCCCAGCACTGAGAGATGAATAAACCAATTAATTAATTAATTTTGAAAACAGACTTGGGGGCCAGGGATTTAGCTCAGTGGTTTTGCCGCCTGCTGCGCAAGCGCAAGGACCCGAGTTCAATCCGATCCCCGGTACCAAAAAAATTAAAATAAAACAGAGTTGGGAGCCAGTGTCTTAGATTTGAATCCTAACTCTCCTATTTTCTGGCTTTGTGCCCCGAGGCTGAGTTTACTTTTCTGTAAAATGGGGCTATTAATAGTATCTGCCTGATGGATTTATAGGGAGAATTGAATTATGCCGTGTGCTATTATGCATTATTACTCTGGGGTTTTTGAAACAAGCCTCACTATGCAATTCAGGCTGGCCTTGAACTCACTATGTTGCCCAGACTGGCCTCGAATTCTCAGCCTTCCTTCCACCTCAGCCTCCCAGTGCTGGGATTACAGGCAGTGATTCTCCTACCTCATTCTCCCAAGTACTGGGATTACAAGCCTGAACCACCATTCCTGGCCTGTGTATATTATATATTTAGGATATTATAATAATATGATACATAATCATATCATTAACTGCATATAATACATGTTTATTAGAATAAGAGGCCTGATCAAAAAAATGGTGAATTCTGGGATGGGGATTTAGCTCAGTGGTGCCACACCTGCCTTGGAAGCACAAGGTCCTGAGTTTGATCCTCAGTACTGAAAAAAAAAATATATGGTGAATGTTTAAAAATAAAGTTATTAGGGCCGAGGATTTAGCTCAGTGGTTCCGCCACCTGCCTTGCAAGCGGGAAGTCCCAAGTTCAATCCTCAGTACCAAAATAAAATTATTACAGTAAAAGACACATTCCATTAATGTCCCTCAAAATATGCTTCCTTGGGCCAGGGATTTAGCTCAAAGTGGTTTTGCCGCCTGCTGCGCAAGCGCAAGGACCCAAGTTCAATCCCCGGTACCAAGAAAAAAAAAAATAAAGACACCCACGAAAGAGGACTCCAGAGCTGCTCCGGGAGGTGGTGAGAATGAGGGGCTGAGTGGGTTTGAAGCGAGAGGGGAGAATTCTGAGGAGAGTGAGTAGTGATGTCTTTCACTGTAATCAAGCATTTGTAGTTTTCTATCCCACCGAAAGTACTAAACGGCTCTGAAGAGAGCGGGCAGGCTCTTTCCACGCCACAGGACGCTGGCCGGGCCCTCAGCGGGCAGGGTCCCAGGGCATCCGGGCAGGTGCGTCCCTGACAGCCCCCCTTTCTCATGCAGCAGTGACGCCTTTGGGGACTGGCCAGTGACAAGAGCCCAGAGGAGCAGCAGAAGCCTCGGAAGCCTCTCCCACGACCTCCTTCCTTGCTTCCTGTGCAAAGCTTTGTATTTTGGGGGCACGGCCTCGCTTCTGTGTGGCCCACCAAGTGCGCTGGCTGTGCCCCCGGCAGCAGGTGCCACAGTCGGAAGATGCACACCGGAGGGCAGCCGCACCCCTGGGTCCCCAGAGTGGCCTTAGTACTTGGGACCCCAGGGTCTTGTTCAAGTCCCCAAAATGAACTGAAGTGCCAACTTGAGAGTGGAGATATAAATAATAATAATGTTAACAATAATAGTGGCCCCTTGGCGGAGGAGTCGGCCTGTGCCACGTGGACATAAGTGCTTTAGGGACATTGTGCGGGATGGCAACATCCGAGCTGGAGGTGCCAGCCTCGAAGAGGGGCAGAGGCGCCCAGGCCCCTGCGTCCTGAGGGTTTGAGCAGCAAAGCATTAAGCAGGCTGGTGCCCCCGAGGGCGAGACGGGTTCGGCTGCAGGGACTCGGAGAGTGTGTGTGACTCATTCAGGGCACAGGCTCAGTCCCGGGCCAGCTTCGGTGATTAACGCTGCTGTAGACAAGGCGGGGTCTCTGCAGCCACCTGGGGAGCAGGGAGCTGCCCGAGCAAGAGCCAGAAGTCCACTGCGGCTCTCTAGCCGGAAGTCCCGCCTCAGCCTGGGGTCAGGGTGTCCAAAGCCCTGCGGGGTCTGCATGCCAGGCTCCCGTACGCTGCTCGAGGCAGGCAGCCCCACCAGGCTCTGCTGCCCATCGGCGAGGCTGGACTTCTCAGTCTCAGGCTCCATGGCTTTTAGCCCTGTGTCCTTGGTTACTAGGAGAGTAGATTGTTGGTGTCTTTCCTCATGTTGCTTTTTGACCTGGAATGTGTGAGAGCGAGACAGTGAGTACACGCCCTGCGTGGCCGCTGTCCTGTCTGTGTGACCAATAAACTGTGCCTTTCCCACTCGGCTGTGGCTTTTTTCCCTGATCCTTGGAGCCCTGGGCGTGTTTCTGGGCTGCAGAGGAGCCCCTGGGGGAGGGGAGGCTGTTGGGGACTCGGGGTGATGGGATCCCATGGCACAGGTTCTGAGGGACAGGGCAGGTGTCACTCCCTCCATACAAGCACCCTGCTGCCAGGGATTTAGCTCGGGCACCACCCCTGCCTCATACAAGATCCACAAGTGTCCTGATACCTACTGTCCTGCAGTGACCAAGTTCCTCCTGGCTTTTGTAAGTGTTGATTGAGCCGGGTGTGGTGGTGCACACCTGTAATTCCAGCACTCAGGAGGCTGAGGCAGGAGGATCACCGCAAGTTTGAGGCCAGCCTGGGTTACATAGTTCAAGGCCAGCCTGCACTACATAGTGAAATCCTGTCCCAAGAAAACTAGTGCTGATTGAGTGAGATCCAGAGGTAATCATTACATGCCAACAACTGTCAGGCACTGGGCTCTCCGGTCAGGGAGTCCGGCACCAGGACTGCCTGCTACCACTCGAAGGGTGCTATGGCCTGGCACTGCCATTCTTGTGTACACGTGTGCATGTCATGTCACATGGGATAAAGCACATGAGAAATCATGGCAGTCTATTGTCCCTGTGTTCTTGAAGACTTAGATTCTCCACAGGGAGGAAAGGGGGCCTACATGCACTGTAGAAAGGGTTCAGTTGGGGCTGGGCATTTAGCTCAATGGTGCCACCACCTGCCTCGAAAGTGCAAGGTCCTGAGTTTGATCCCCAGTACCAAAGACAAACTTACAATCCTGAAATCGAACTGGAAATAGCAGCTTTGACTCATGTTGTAGCTTATCTCTGTCTCTGTCTCTCCCCTCTCTCTCTCTCCTCTCTCTCTCTCTTTCTCTCTCTCTCTATCCCACAGGGTGGGCCTAGATCGTTAACTTCTTAGGAATTTTGTGTACACACAGGCTGTGTGAGACAGGGCTGTGCCTGTACAGGACCACCGGGGCCCCTGATGCTCAGAAGTGGAAACACCGCAAAGGAGAAAGTGCCCTCTCGTCCTCTGCACCTGTCCCTGGGCAGCCTCCCCTGGTTCTCAGCCACGCTTGCCCCCTGCAGCTCCTCTCCTGACAACACTGGGTCCCCCGAATGCCAGGTCCCCTTGCTGGATCAGGGGAACCAGCCATCACTGCCTCCTGATAACCCAAATTTTCTCCCAGGGCTGCCTAGCCCCTGAGATGAATCCATCGCCCACCTTCTCTGAGACTGCAGCCTCCATCACTTCCAGGAAGCAGACGTTTCCCCATTTGTGTGAGACACTGAAGCTGGCTTCCACACACAGGACGGTGCTGTTGTCACAGGGATGCTCTCCGATGACAGTGCCCAGCAGCTCCACACCATGCCACGTGGCTGGGAGGGTGGCTGCTGCCACTCCACACCCCCGAGAGACAGGGCAGCCATGCCAGCTCCTTCCCCCAGGTTTCCACTGCTTTTTCATGCCATTTTTTCCCCACTCGACAGGAGGAAAATGAGTGAGTCATTCAGAAAAGCTCTCTCCCACTGCTACTTTCCCTAACCCCAACCTACCAGGTTCTGTCTTCACATGGCCCTAAAATAGCTCCTTTCTCTCCATGAACCGATTTCCATGGAGACCCAGCTATGGAGAGGCCCAGAAGCTTTCTGCGCAGCAGCCAGCTCTGCTTCTGGCCTTCCCTCCAACAGGGAGCCCCTTTGTCTTGCAAATGGTTGGTCCCACCCCCCACAGACCACCTCACTTTGGGAACTCTGCAAGGTTGGGGCCTGGCGGGGCCACATGGAGTCCAGGTGGAGACAAGCGACGTCCTTACTGTGTTCTGGTCCATGCTGCCCTGGGCCGGTCGCAGCTCAAGCCAGTCCCGACCTGGGTGTGTGGGGCCTCGCTCCACGTCCCAATCAGCCATAAATGTGTTCACAGCGTATGTGGGGCCAGCAGAGGCCGTGAGGCTGGGGTTGTTCGTGGCTCCAAATCAGACAGAATGAAGGTGAATCTCTTGTCTTTAATCTTCTGTAGGTTACTCTGCCTTTCTGAGCCTGTCTCCTTCTTCTTCTTCTTCTTCTTTCTTTTCTTCTTTCTTCTTTCTTCTCTCTTCTATCAAGGTCTTGCCATGTAGCCTAGGCTGGCCTCGAACTCAGCGACCTTCCTTGCCTCACGCACCTGGAGCTCTGGGATCACTGGTGTGTGCCACCACGACCTGCATCTGAGCGAAAATCTTCTCATCTGCAAAGTGGGAGAGGAGACCTGCCTAGTGGGCCTGGCAGTTCAGTGAGCTCCTGTCTGCAAAGCCAAGCTCGGGCAGGGTTCACTGGAGGCAATCTCTTTCCTTTCCCTGAGAACAGGTAGCCCGAGAGCACTGCAGACATCATCCGAAGGGAACAGAGAAAAGCTGGCTCCTGGGGCAGTGGGGAGGCCCCCAGGCTGGGCCTTGGGGACCACAGGAATGTCCTTGTCCTAAGGGGGCCCTGCCTTTGAGGTGTGGGAGGAGCGCAAGCCAGCCAACACGCAGGAAACCCAGACGCCAAGTAAAGCTGTGGAAAACTTAGCCAATGTGGGGGTTTCTTGGGCCCAGGGGACTGCAGGAAGCCAGGAGGATTAGTTGCAGCCTTATGGGTTGACTTGAGGTTACCCTAGTAGGCTGAAGGGCTGGTTGAGGCTGGAGCACTAGTTAAGGCCAGAAAGACTAATTGCGGTCAGGAGCGCTCAATGGTTTCTCCAGCTGCACAGCTACTCAGCTGACTCGAGCCGTGGGAGCCCACCTAGGGACATGGGGGAGGGAGGGAGGTCCCTGCAGGCACCCGGCCACACCTCACAGAGTGGTCACAGGCCTCCGGACACATTGGCAGATCCAGTCACACGCCGAAGCTTGTGCCCTGAGTGTCCACCATCCACCTGCTCTGGGTAAGACTTCCCTGCTGCTTCTCGTTTATCACCGAGCAGTACAAACAGGCAGCCATAGGAGCTCTGGAGCTGACAGTGACCTGCACGCTCCTGTGCCAGCAAGGTCAGTCATGGGGAGAAGCAGGTGAGGTGCTGGGGGTGCAAAAGTGAACAGGCAGCCTGCTGTGACACAGCCCTGGCCTCTCAGCTACTCAGGAGGCTGAGGCAGGAGGAGCTCACATTCCCAGTGACCCTGGCTTCCAGAAGAGGCAAATATCCAGGCTGTTGCATGGCTATGGAGTGTGCTGACCAAAGACTATGCCAAGAATTTCCTTCGGGATAGCTGGGCAAACATTTTATGACTTAGTGCTTAGTATTCAGGACATTGATTACCATGGAGAGGAGGATGCTGGAGTCTGGGGTCCAGCAGCCTGGGTTCAGCCTCAAGCCTTACTGCTGGCTGGCTGTATGGCTGTGTTGCCTCAGTTTCTCCATCTGTAAGAAGGAGATAATAATGACATTGTGAAATACAAGTTACAGGAGGCCATTGGTGAGACCAAGCTCCCACACTAGGTCCCAACAGACCAAACTAAAACCTGGAGTTGCTCACACTGAGTTTCAATGACAGCAAACTGAGACTATGCTGTCAACTCCAAGAAATCAGGAAAGATTGCTGGGCATGGTGGTGCATGCCTGTAATCCTAGCACTCTGGAAGGCTGAGGCAGGAAGATCCCAAGTACAAGCCTACCCCAGGCAACATTTAGCAATTTAGCAAAACCCTGACCAAAATTTTTTAAAAATCAAAATGGCTGGGGAGGTAGATCAGAGTAAAGGCCCTGGGTTTAATCCCTAGTACTGCAAAAAAATAAAACAAAACAACTGCACAGCCTTGAAAAGAAATGCAATAAAAAAAAAAAGATTTTGGGCCGGGGATTTAGCTCAGTGGTTCCACCACCTGCCTCGCAAGCACAAGGTCCCAAGTTCGATCCCTGGTACCAAAAAAAAAAAAA